CACACACACACACACACACACACACACAAAACTATAGTGGACTGTATAACAGGTAGATGCTCCAGCCACCAATACCACAGATACATACAGTGTGGAGAACAAGTATTTCATACACTGCCGATTTTGCATATTTATTATTTACTGTATGTACATTCCCCTACATATTTATTATTTACATTATGTAGCCTATATTCCCCTACATATTTATTATTTACAGTAAGTAGCCTACTCTCCCCTACATACAGTGGGGAGAACAAGTATTTGATACACTGCCGATTTTGCAGGTTTTCCTACTTACAAAGCATGTAGAGGTCTGTAATTGTTTTCATCATAGGTACACTTCAACTGTGAGAGACGGAATCTAAAACAAAAATCCAGAAAATCACATTGTATGATTTCTAAGTAATGAATTTGCATTTTATTGCATGACATAAGTATTTGATCACCTACCAACCAGTAAGAATTCCGGCTCTCACAGACCTGTTAGTTTTTCTTTAAGAAGCCCTCCTGTTCTCCACTCATTACCTGTATTTACTGCACCTGTTTGAACTCGTTACCTGTATAAAAGACACCTGTCCACACACTCAATCAAACAGACTCCAACCTCTCCACAATGGCCAAGACCAGAGAGCAGTGTAAGGACATCAGGGATAAAATTGTAGACCTGCACAAGGCTGGGATGGGCTACAGGACAATAGGCAAGCAGTTTGGTGAGAAGGCAACAACTGTTGGCGCAATTATTAGAAAATGGAAGAAGTTCAAGATGACGGTCAATCACCCTCGGTCTGGGGCTCCATGCAAGATCTCACCTCGTGGGGCATCAATGATCATGAGGAAGGTGAGGGATCAGCCCAGAACTACACGGCAGGACCTGGTCAATGACCTGAAGAGAGCTGGGACCACAGTCTCAAAGAAAACCATTAGTAACACACTACGCCGTCATGGATTAAAATCCTGCAGCGCACGCAAGGTCCCCCTGCTCAAGCCAGCGCATGTCCAGGCCCGTCTGAAGTTTGCCAATGACCATCTGGATGATCCAGAGGAGGAATGGGAGAAGGTCATGTGGTCTGATGAGACAAAAATAGAGCTTTTTGGTCTAAACTCCACTCACCATGTTTGGAGGAAGAAGAAGGATGAGTACAAACCCCAAGAACACCATCCCAACCGTGAAGCATGGAGGTGGAAACATCATTCTTTGGGGATGCTTTTCTGCAAAGGGGACAGGACGACTGCACCGTATTGAGGGGAGGATGGATGGGGCCATGTATCGCGAGATCTTGGCCAACAACCTCCTTCCCTCAGTAAGAGCATTGAAGATGGGTTGTGGCTGGGTCTTCCAGCATGGCAACGACCCGAAACACACAGCCAGGGCAACTAAGGAGTGGCTCCGTAAGAAGCATCTCAAGGTCCTGGAGTGGCCTAGCCAGTCTCCAGACCTGAACCCAATAGAAAATCTTTGGAGGGAGCTGAAAGTCCGTATTGCCCAGCGACAGCCCCGAAACCTGAAGGATCTGGAGAAGGTCTGTATGGAGGAGTGGGCCAAAATCCCTGCTGCAGTGTGTGCAAACCTGGTCAAGACCTACAGGAAACGTATGATCTCTGTAATTGCAAACAAAGGTTTCTGTACCAAATATTAAGTTCTGCTTTTCTGATGTATCAAATACTTATGTCATGCAATAAAATGCAAATTAATTACTTAAAAATCATACAATGTGATTTTCTGGATTTTTTATTGAAAAATTACATGCTTTGTAAGTAGGAAAACCTGCAAAATCGGCAGTGTATCAAATACTTGTTCTCCCCACTGTATCTGTTATTAGTGGACTGCACCAGAATTCTTTTTTTTTTTGTGATAAAAAAAAAAAAAAAACATTTTAGCAGACGCTCTTATCCAGAGCAATTTACAGTTAGTGAGTGCATACATTATTTTATTTTTGTATTTTTTCATACTGGCCCCCCATGGGAATCGAACCCACAACCCTGGCGTTGCAAACGCCATGCTCTACCAACTGAGCTACATCCCTGCCGGCCATTCCCTCCCCTACCCTGGGCCAATTGTGCGCCGCCCCATGGGTCTCCCAGTCACGGCCGGCTACGACAGATCCTGGATTCGAACCAGGATCTCTTTTGGGACAGCTAGCACTGCGATGCGTGCCTTAGAACCACGGCCCTCTTGAGATTTTGACGTGTGTTACCTATTTCTGTCGAAAAAACACGGGTTTGCTTTACCATGAAGAGCGAACAGGTCGTCAAGGACTTGATGGCTTTTATACTGTCATAGACTGGACTCTATTATGTAATGACAAACTCCCTACCAGGATGGGTTCTGAAATATTGTTACAGTTTTGGGGCATATTCGGTGGGATTCATTTTCCCTCTAACTAAACTGTGAGGTGGAGAAGTAATAGGGGAAGGATATGACAAGCACTTTGGATGGTAGGTTAGTGCCTTGGGTTGGGGTTGGGGAAGGGGGGAGAGGGAGGAGGAGAGAGAGAGAGAGAGGGAAGAGAGAGAGAGAGAGAAGAGAGAGAGAGAGAGAGAGAGGGGAGGGGGAAGAGGAAGGAAAGGAGAAGGAAGAAGTTTCTCTCTTTCTTTTTCTCTTTCTTCCTCTTCTTCTTTCTCCTCTTTCTTTCTTTTCCCCTCCCCCTTCCCTCCTTTCTTCCCTAGAGATTAGAGGACTCGGACAGCAGATCGATGAGCCTTAGAGCCCGCCTCGGAGATGGCTTGCACGTATTCTCTAACAGCGAAGTCCAGTGAAGTAGACAACAGTCGATAAGGGGAGAGAGACGCGATAGAACCAAGAGAGAAGAGAAGACACGAAGACAGAGAGAGAGATACAGAGAGATAGAGACACAAATAGCGAGAGACACAGGAGGAGAGAGAGAAACAGAGAGAGAGAGACACAGAGAGAAGAGCACAGAGAGAGAGAGCACAGAGAGGAGAGAGACGAGAGAGGAGGAGAGCAGAGAGAGAGAAGAGAGAGAGGGAGAAGAGACGAGAGAGAGAGAGAGAGAGAATATTCCGGGACAGTGTCCCCAGTGAGTAGTTCTAACTAATGAGGATAGAACACAGTCCCATTACACACAGAACACAGTCCCATAGAACAAGAACACAGTCCCTTAACAACACGAACACATCCCATTAGAACACAGTCCTTAGAACACAACACGTTCCATTACACACAGACACAGTCCCATTCAGATCACAGACACATCAGTCCCCTTACACACAACCATCCCTTAACACAGTCCCGTTAGAACACACACGTTCCATTACAACACAGAACACATCCCATTAGACACAGACACAGTCCATTACACACAGACCAGTCCATTAGAACACCAGTCCCGTTAACAACACAAACACAGTTCCATTACACACAGACACAGTTCCATTACAACACAAGAACACAGTCCCATTAACACAGCCACCAGTCCCCATTACAACACAGAACACAGTCCCATTAAGAACACAGTCCCGTTAGAACCACAAACACAGTCCTTAGAACCAGACACGTCCCATTAAACACAGAACACAGTCCCATTACAACACAGACACAGTCCCATTAGAACACATCCCGTAAACACAAACCAACAGTTCCATAGAACACAGAACACAGTCCCATTACAACACAGAACACAGTCCCATTAGAACACAGCCCTGAACACAAACACAGTTCCATTAGAACACAGACACAGTCCCATTACAACACAGAACACAGTCCCATTAAACACATCCCTTAAACAACACAGTTCCATTAGAACACAGAACACAGTCCCATTAGAACACAGTCCCGTTAGAACACAAAACACAGTTCCATTAGAACACAGAACACAGTCCCATTACAACACAGAACACAGTCCCATTAGAACACAGTCCCGTTAGAACACAAAACACAGTCCCATTAGAACACAGAACACAGTCCCATTACAACACAGAACACAGTCCCATTAGAACACAGTCCCGTTAGAACACAAAACACAGTTCCATTAGAACACAGAACACAGTCCCATTAGAACACAGAACACAGTCCCATTAGAACACAGAACACAGTCCCATTAGAACACAGAACACAGTCCCATTAGAACACAGAACAGAGTCCCATTAGAACACAGTCCCATTAAAACACAGTCCCATTAGAACACAGAACACAGTCCCACTCTAATATAATATAGCTCTCATATCTGCTTCGCTCACATCGTCAGTCTGAGAGTAGGAATATATATTAATTGGTAATCCTGTAGGTACGTAGATAATACTGACATGGTTTTATGATGACACGTGGAGACTGGAAAGTACTGTACTGTACAGTCTACGGGGTTACAGATGTCACTAGGGGTTGCAAAATTACAGTAACTTTCCCAATATGTCCTGGTTTTCCAGAAGTCCTGTTTGGAAGACTCCGGATTTCAAACTTGAGGTTCATGCATGTATTTTTGTTTTAATCCTGCATTGACGTCAATGGTAAATCTCGAGTTATGCCCACAGATTTTAAATTAGGATTTGACCGTTATGGAGGTAGCTTGGGTAGCATTCTGTTTAGCTAACATTTCACTCCTCGTACTCCGTGTCATTGCTCCCGAGTGGCGCAGTGGTCTAAGGCACTGCATCGCAGTGCTAGCTGTGCCACTAGAGATCCTGGTTTGAATCCAGGCTCTGTCGTAGCTGGCCGTGACCGGGAGATCCATGGGGCGGCGCACAATTGGCCCAGCGTCGTCCAGGGTAGGGGAGGGAATGGCCGGCAGGGAGGTAGCTCAAGTTGGTAGAGCATGGCGTTTGCAACGCCAGGGTTGTGGGTTCGATTCCCACGGGGGGCCAGTATGAACAAATAAAAAAATATGTATGCACTCACTAACTGTAAGTCGCTCTGGATAAGAGCGTCTGCAAAATGACTAAAATGTAAATGTAAAATTGCCAAACATTGGTATCCAGGCTATTATGGAGGTCGGTTTGGCCTGTTCTGAGGGTAACTGTTTGGGGGTACAGCTCTGAGGGTAACTATGTGTTGTCCGGTTGATGTTTTGGTGGACACAGCTGGGGCAGAGATGCAGTTCCGACTGGATCACGATTGCAGGTTAAGACCTGGACAGGAGGACAGTACCTGGCATTTAGTGATTTTAGGGGCAATATGCCAGGGCACCAAGGCCATTAACCAAAATAGCCAATTAAAAACAGTAGATATTCTGTTAAGAAAAACATTTGTATGTAAATGTACATCAATAATTATCCTACATGTTAAAGTATAGGTGATAGACTATGGTATTGGCTACAGCCTCTCATGTCCACACCGATGCTGACATGAGGGAGGCACCAGAAAATGTAGCCAAACTTTAATGAGACTTTTTATTACATATCAATTAATATTCAAGGCAAGTTTTTTTCAGATAGGAGAGAAAGGCTAGTGCCTGTTGCGCACCGCCCCATCACCCAGGAAAGGGGAGTGTACATACTGTAAATAATACATACAGTGGGGAGAACAAGTATTTGATACACTGCCGATTTTGCAGGTTTTCCTACTTACAAAGCATGTAGAGGTCTGTAATTTTTAGCATCTCAAGGTCCTGGAGTGGCCTAGCCAGTCTCCAGACCTGAACCCAATAGAAAATCTTTGGAGGGAGCTGAAAGTCCATATTGCCCAGCGACAGCCCCGAAACCTGAAGGATCTGGAGAAGGTCTGTATGGAGGAGTGGGCCAAAATCCCTGCTGCAGTGTGTGCAAACCTGGTCAAGACCTACAGGAAACGTATGATCTCTGTAATTGCAAACAAAGGTTTCTGTACCAAATATTAAGTTCTGCTTTTCTGATGTATCAAATACTTATGTCATGCAATAAAATGCAAATTCATTACTTAAAAATCATACAATGTGATTTTCTGGATTACAGACCTCTACATGCTTTGTAAGTAGGAAAACCTGCAAAATCGGCAGTGTATCAAATAATTGTTCTCCCCACTGTATGTAGGGGAGTGTACATACTGTAAATAATAAATATGTAGGGAAGTGTAGGCTACATACTGTAAATAAAACATACTTAGGTGAGTCCCCTATGCATAGATCCAGGAGTTTTTCAACTTACCTGACCAAACGCTAAGGCCTTGTTAAAGACTATCTTCAGGGCTAAGATTTTTTCCTGGTTAGGTCACATGGTCACGGAACTCTCCAGGACCTTTGAAAAACTCTAGGACCTAAACATCGTTTTCAACTAGGGGTCATGTGGGAAAACTCCTGATCCTTAACCCCCCCTCCCCCCCACCACAATGAGGAAATACTGGAGAATAACTAAATGTTCCCCTCCCTACCCCACATATCACCCCCTCCTCCTCCGTCTCTTATCCCCTCATCCCTCCCGACCTCCCACCCTCCCCTTCCCTCCCTCCCTATCTTCCACCAGGATGAGGAGCGGAGGCGGCTGGAGGTGCAAGGTGTGAGGCCCAGGGGGGGTCTGGATCTGACGGGCCTGCAGGCCCACGAGGCTCCCTGGGTCCAGGAGAGAACCCTACTGCAGCAGGAGGTCCGGTTGTTCAGACACAACACCATCGTCTTCTACATGAAGCTACGCTGGATCCTCATGCACTGGAGGCTGGGGAAGAGGCCAGAGACAGGGGAGGAGGCAGCTCACTCAGAGGTGAGACGACTGGCTTGAGGTAGAGGCTGAACCACGGGTAGTTTAGTCTGGAGGCTGGGGAGGAGGCCAGAGACAGGGGAGGAGGCAGCACACTCAGAGGTAGGGCCATGCACAGACCTCTTTATTTATTTATTTCAACATTTACAGGCCTCTTTATTTTTCTGCAACGACACACTCATGACACACAAGCAAGTGCCAGTGACTGCTAGGCCTTTTAAGTTGAGACGACTTCGAGACGATAAACTTCCGGAAAAGAGTGGCTATCAGCTGATAGCGAATGATGATGTAAATCTGCCAGCTGGTTAGATAGTTAGCTAGTTAGATAGTTAGCTAGTTAGATAGTTAGCTATACTGTCAAAACAAACAAGTTTTTACTTGATTTTAGTTTGTTCTGCTGTTGAAATCTGCCTCTTACTAACAGCCCCCTTCTCTAACCCTAACAGTGCTGTTTAAATCTGCCTCTTGCTAACAACCCCTTTCTCTAACCCTAACAGTGCTGTTTAAATCTGCCTCTTGCTAACAACCCCTTTCTCTAACCCTAACAGTGCTGTTGAAATCTGCCTCTTGCTAACAACCCCTTTCTCTAACCCTAACAGTGAGATGACAAACATGACAGATACAACTCAAAAGTAGCCAACTAGCTAGGCCTACCTACCAGTGTTCAAACTCTCCGCCCGCCACCCGTAGCCACACTGCATGGAGCAGTCAGATGATGGGCCGGAGTGCAGGGAATGGGGAATTTACTGAGGTGCAATTCGTTACATTTCAAATTAAAACATTGAAAAGAGACTCAAAATAAATTAAAAAGTCATTCATAGGAGGGCAAAAAGATAGAAGCTCCAGCACTGGATGAGCCCTATCTGTTGTCGTGACATGACTTTCATTAATCTGATGGATGTTATTTATCAAATCAACTAACTATGTTTAATTGTTACTCAATTTAAATGAGTCATGTAACAATTAACTCATTAGGATTTGGGGCACCACGGAATAACTTGTTTATAGAGCTACCATCTCCCGAATTAAACTCTAAAGGTCTTTACCTTTTCAATATGTATATAACAGTCAACCTATTAATTATTACCTCTTATCAGTCGTCATTCTGAACGGTGGTAGACTTCTTGGATCTGCACAAACCCCAGCTTTACTTATTGATTCAACACTACGCAAATTGGTTTAATTATTTATTTTCTAGCTAACTAAATAATAACACAGAATAAAATACATACTTAATACATGAGAAAAAGTCCCTAGCGGACTAACAACAACATGACTGCTTAGTTACCAAAAGAGGGCGGGGTAGAGAACGAGAGACACAACACTTATCGTACATTTGGAAACTACGTTCACAGTAATCCTTTACTTTGCACACGAACCACCGCCCGTTTGGAGTAAGAAATCATGAATGTATTTAAGTGTTTGAATGCCTTCATTCGCCGTTCATCTCTGTCGGACCAAGCCTTCATGAAAAGGGTTTGGCTGGTTCTCCGGTGGGTCACTTGTAAGGCTCTGATTGTCCACAAGAGGTCACAATGTCCTTCTTCTTCTTAGTTGTCCTGGTGTGTAGTGGAGTCTCTCCAGAACAGTTACTTAGCTGTCCCAGTGATTGTCTGAGAGGGGAGCTTTCTTCTCCTCCTCGTGTGGTCAGTCAGAGTTTGAACCAGCTGCAGCCTGGCGATGTTCGGTTCTAGTCTGAGAGCTGGTCTTCTTCACCTCGTGTTGAGGTTCAACGTTCCAACCATTTTCAGACGTGTAGCGACCGCTCCACATCTTTCTGGTCTACTGTTAATTTCGTTACCAAGGCTTTTTATGCACTCTGGTTAAAAGGGCGTTCCGTCATGCTGACATGCTCTCTGAGCTCACGCGGGGCGTGGCTACTTACTTGTGCAAAGTTTATATGAAAAACAATTATCTCATTAGAAAACTAAAATCACATTCCTATCTTAACAAAGATACTTTCCTCATTTTTCATATTATATACACAACGTATTGGATGGAAAACTTGACAGATAAAGGAGATATTTTTTTCCAAGTTACAGTATTTTCTTGATACCATTCTTAATGACATCACGAAAGAATAAACAATATGACATGATTGTTCTTTAGGTCCCAACATTCTGATGTTAGAAATATTGTTCCAGTGTTTACTTTTTGGACGTTACGGTTTTGGCGGCAAAAGTATTCTGGAGACAAAGGGACATTCCAATCACCAATACTGGAGGGGTACAAAGAGATTCCCATCCTGCCTAATTTACGACCGGGTGTGAGGTGTCAAAACCGGCCCAGTCCCCCCCCCCCCTATTCTGTGGGTGAGACAGGGTCTGAATATTGTCCGCCATTGCCAAGCTGATCTGAGCCCTTGGATCCTCACACTGGGCAGTCATCGCACTGTTCACGTGCCCGCTCAGGAGTTCCAGCACTGGCTGAGCCCTATCTGTCACGTGCCTGCTCAGAGGTGAGACCTTTTGGCTTGAGATACTTAGCCAACCCTTCTCCTACAATCCTAACCATCACCGTGAAAACATTTCTGACAGTGGTTCGGGAACAGTTTCTCCAGAGGCACTCCACACAGACTCTCAACCATCCAATCAATCAAACAAACAAACCATGAGTCAGTCAATCACTTAGGAGAGTATGATTGATCTGAGTACATTTGGTTAGAGCAGGAAGACCAATCAGTGAATAACAGGGCTGGAGCAAAAGCCTGCATTCCCAGTAGTTCTCCAGAAGGAGGGTTGACATCTAGCTCAAAATCACTCAATCGATAATCAGTGCAGGATTGAGTCGTTTGATTGGTCAACTGAGTGATTGATTGACTGACTCAGTTAGTTGGTTGGTTTAATTCATTTACTGCTCCTCTTCTAACCTTGTTATCCCTTATCTTGTCTGTCCCAGTATGAGAAGTTGGAAGGTATTCCGGAGCTGGGGGTGATCTTGGCGCATGGAGAGGGAGAGACGGAGAGAGAGGACAGGGACAGGTCGTGTACCCAGCTACCCCAGAGAGACAGCCCCGACCCCGACCCCGACCCCACAACCCAACTCCCCTCCCCTGATCGCCTGCAGCACCAGAGACAGGTAGGGTGCCATGGATTTCTCTCTGTTGCTACACTCAAAAAACCTGAATTAAAGAGCACTTTAGATGAGTACAAGGTCGGTTCAAGTACAGTGGAGTTCAACGATCCCTATCCAAATAATACTATTTACTGGCTCTGCATACAGTATCTGCATGTTGCCATCCCAGCTACTGGGGCGGCAGGTAGCTTAGTGGTTAAGAGTGTTGTGCCAGTAACCGAAAGGTCGCTGGTTCTAATCCCAGAGCCGACTAGGTGAAAAATCTGTCGATGTGCCCTTGAGCAAGGCACTTAACCCTAATTGCTCCTGTAAGTCGCTCTAGATAAGAGCGTCTGCTAAATGACAAAAAAAAAATGTTTAACATAAAAAAATAAAAAATATGTTGGCCAGTGAACAGACATTCGTCCTTTGCAGGAGGCAGTTTCTCTCACTGAGTAGAAACTTGATTCCAGTTCCTGTTATTGTGAATAGCTATAGTCACCAGTTGTATTAGAATACGACTTCAGCATGAATCATTAGTGAAATACAGAGGCAAAATAGTACCTCTTTCATATGGCTAACATGTTATTTCCTCAGGATAGATATCAACCAGCTTCATGATTTCTCTCAGTGTGTTGGAAGTAGAGTATACAGTAGAATACAGTTAATTTGAATTACTATCATTCATAATTAAGATACATGCATTCTACTTGTTAGCTGAACTGTGAAGAAGGAACAATGTATCACAGTCAAAGAGAAAATAGTCTATCACTCAGCAGGCGTAGTGTGTGGGGGGGTGTATGTCATGTTTTATTAACAGGATCTAAAGTGCTCTCTGCTGTCTACTGTTGTGATTTCTTCAACTTGACAGAAATGGTTTGTACACTGATCTGAAAATGGAGCTGCTTTAAACCCCCAAACCATTATTCACAAACAGTTCCCAAAGCAGGCCATGTTAGCATTTACCACCAGGATGAAAACATCAAACTCTGTTTAGTAAAAGCGTGTAAAGAGTGTTAAGAAGGAAGTCTGTAAAGAATAAAAAATATTCCAAAACATGCACATCCTGTTTGCAACAAAGAACTGAAGTAATACTGCAAAAACAAATTGGCAAAGCAATGAACTTTTTGTCCTGAATACAAAGTGTTATGTTTGGGGCAAATCCAATGCAACACATTACTGTATACCTCTCTCCATATTTTCAAGCATAGTGGTGGCTGCATCATGTTATGGGTACGCTTGTCATCGTTAAGGACTGTGGAGTTTTTTTAAGATAAAAAAAGAAACTGAATGGAGCTAAGCACAGGCAAAATCCTAGAGGAAAACCTGGTTCAGTCTGCTTTCCACCAGACACTGGGAAATGAATTAACCTTTCAGCCTTTTAGCAGGGCAATAACCTAAAACACAAGGCCAAATCTACACTGGAGTTGCTTACCAAGAAGACAGTGAATGTTCCTGAGTGGCCGAGTTACAGTTTTGACTTAAATCTACCTTAGAATCTATGTTAAGACCTGAAAATGGTTGTTTAGCAATGATCACAACCAATTTGAGCTTGGAAGAATTTCGAAAATAATAATGGGCAAATATTGTACCGTCCAGGTGTGGAAAGCTCTTAGAGACTCACCCAGAAAGACTCACAACTGTAAACGCTGCCAAAGGTGCTTCTACAACGTATTGACTCAGGGGTGTGAATACTTACGTAAGTGAGATATTTTCTGTATTTCATTTTTCAATAAATGTGCTAACATTTCTAAAAACATGTTTTTCACTTTTGTCATTATGGGGTTATTGTGTGTAGATGGATGAGAAAAAATATAAATGTAATCCATTTTGAATCCAGGCTGTAGCACAACAAAAGGTGGAATAAGTCCAGGGGTATGAATACTTTCTGAAGGCGCTGTATGTCGCCTTTAGAAATAAGGTTAATGAAGTCAATACCTTGCTAACATCGGATAATGTTCATACACTTTTAACTCACTTAGATCATTCATTTGATGTAACAGCAGTAGCAGTACAAGGATATAACAACTACAGAATCAAATCAAATCACATTTTATTGGCCACATGCGCCGAAATACAACAGGTGCAGACATTACAGTGAAATGCTTACTTACAGCCCTTAACCAACAGTGCATTTATTTTTTATAAAAATAAAACAACAACAAAAAAGTGTTGAGAAAAAAAAAGAGCAGAAGTTAAATAAAATAACAGTAGGGAGGCTTTATATACAGGGGGGGGGGGGGGGGGGGGTGCAGAAAAGACAGGGGGGAGGTGCTGCTGCGGTAAACGTTCAGAGCCATATTCCTGTAAAGCTTAGAGAGGATCTCATGTCTAATGCTGTTGAAGTGTTGTGGTTGCAAGTTCGCCTGCTTCGTCTAAAGCCTCTTTATGTGGGGTGCTGCTGTAGGCCACCAAGTGCTAACAGTCCAGCACTTGGATAATATGTGTTTAATCCTTTGATAGTGTGTGTGATATTAACAGAGAGGTCTATTTTCTGAAGAGGAAGCTTCTAACTGTAGGCTTAGGCCTGTAATATGACCCAGGTTATCACTCACTCAACTCAACCAACTAGAGTGCATATCAATAGTGTTGGATCTGTGACATCCACTTGTATTGATCATATATTCACTAATGCTGCAGGGCTTTGCTCCAAATCAATATCAGTTCCCATAACATTGTGGCAATAACAAGGAAAGCCAAAGAGCCAAAGGTTGGGCCTACTGTAGTTTATAAGAGATCAAACAAAATGTTTTCAAAGGACTCTTTTGTTGAAGATGTAAAAAATGTATGTTGGTCTGATGTGTATGAGGAAGTTAATCCAGATGCAGCACTGGAGGTATTTGTAAAAGTACTCATGCCAATTGTTGACAACCCCATGCACCTGTTAGAAATCAACTGTGAGAATTGATAGAGCCCTCTGGATTGATGATGAATTATACAGGAGGTGGACAGGCTGCTCAGTTCATTGGTTGACAGACTGTAAATTGAGACATTTTTTGACTAAACTTAACAAAAAGAAGAAGAAATTATATTACCAAACCAAGATAAATGACATAAAACACAATGGAAAAAGACTTTGGAATACCTTAAATGATATCATGGACAGAAAACCCAATTAATCTCCATTGTTCATTGGAGTTGATGGGTCATTTATAATAAAACACTTTCGATATTGCCAATAATTTCAATGGCTAATTCATAAGTAAAGTGGAAAAACTCAAGTGAAATGACAACATTGAACAGTGAACCATAATATTTTTGTATAAAATATATAATAATGAAAGAGAAGGATTGCTGTTTTGAATTTGGTCAAGTAAGTGTTGGAGAGGTGGAAAACTAGTGTTATCCATCAATAATGATAAGCCACCAGGTACAGACAACCTAGATGGGAAACTATCTAGAATGGTAGCAGACTGTATTGCCACCCCTATTTGCTATATCTTTAACCGAAGCCTAAAGGAGGGGGTGTGTCCACATGAAGCTAAAGTAATTCCACTGCCTAAAAATAGTAAAGCACTCTTTGCTGGATCTAACCGCCACCCAATCAGTTTGCAGCCTGTTCTTAGTAAACTGATGGAGAGAATTGTGTTTGACCAAATACAATGCTATTTTTCAGAGAACAAGTTAACTACTGACTCTCAGCATGCATTTAGAGAAGGGCACTCAACTTGCACTGCACTGACTCAGATGACAGATGATTGGTTAAAATATATGGATAATAAGATGATAGTTGGAGCTGTATTGTTAGAATTCAGTGCAGCCTTTGATGTTATTTATTATCATAAATTGTTATTGAAGAAAGCTCACTTGCTATGGCTTTACATCACCTGCCATCACATGGTTGGAGAGTTATTTATCCAATAGAACCCAGAGAGTGTTCTTCAATGGAAGCGTACTCTAACATCCGATATGTACAGTGCGGTGTCCCTCAGGGCAGTTGCCTTGGGCCGTTACTCTTCTCTATTCTTACAAATTATTTTCCACTGGTCTTACATGAAGCTAGAATGACTATGCTGATGAATCCACACTCTACATGTCAGCACCCAAAGCCACTGAGCTCACAGAAATTCTAAATAAGGAGTTACAGTCAGTATCAGAATGGGGGATTAATAATAAACTGGTCTTTAAATACTTCAAAAAAACAAAATAATTGTATTTGGTTCAAAACATTATCTTAGACCTAAACCTCTACAGGAGTTGTGTATAAAGGGTGTGACCAATGTTGAAGAAGCTGAACTCCTAGGAGTAACATTGGATGGTCAGTTATCATGGTCAAGTCATAATGACAAAGTTGTTGTGAAGATGGGGAGAGGTATGTCTGTTAAAAAAAATCAACTGTACTAGTTGTTCACTCTCTGGTCTTGTCCCATCTTGATTACTGTCAGGTAATATGGTCAGGTGCAGCAATGAAAGACCTAGAAAAGCTGCAACTGGCTCAGATCAGAGCAGCACGCCTTGCCCTTAACTGCACAGAACGAACTATCAAAAACATGCATGCCAGTCTTTCCTGGTTGAGGGTTGACGAGAGATTAACTGCTTCTCTTCTAGTTTTAATTAGAAATATTACTGTGATGAAAATTCCAGATCCGCATAATCAAATAACATTCCATACATACCCCAAAAGACACACCACCAGGGGTCTCTTCACAGTCCCCAGGTCCAAAACTAATTCACGGCAACACACAGTATTATACAGAGCCATGATCGCATGGAACTCCCTTCCATCTCCAATTACTCAAGCAAACAGCAAAATGACCTTTAAAAAAAGATTAAACAACATCTCATGGAACGGCGGGACTGTGAGGGGATACAGACACACGCACACAGAGACACACTCTAACACACACGTTATTTTGTTGTGTTTTGGTATTGTTTGTATATGGTTGTATTTTACATTAGTGTGACTGCCCTTGTCTATCAGTGTCTCAGTGTTTTGTTACTTGTCATGTTTGGTGTTTTTTGTGGACCCCATGAAGAGTAGCTGCTGCTTCTGCAAAAGCTAATGGGGATCCCAATAAACAAATAAATAAACAAATAAATAAACAAATAAATAAATAAACAAATAAACTACAGCAGAGCAGCAGAGCCCAGTGATAACCACATATAAACTACAGCAGAGCAGCAGAGCCCAGTGATAACCTACATATAAACTACAGCAGGGCAGCAGAGCCCAGTGATAACCTACATATAAACTACAGCAGGGCAGCAGAGCCTAGTGATAACCACATATAAACTACAGCAGAGCAGCAGAGCCCAGTGATAACCACATATAAACTACAGCAGGGCAGCAGAGCCCAGTGATAACCTACATATAAACTACAGCAGGGCAGCAGAGCCCAGTGATAACCTACATATAAACTACAGCAGAGCAGCAGAGCCCAGTGATAACCTACATATATACTACAGCAGAGCAGCAGAGCCCAGTGATAACCTACATATAAACTACAGCAGAGCAGCAGAGCAGCAGAGCCCAGTGATAACCTACATATAAACTACAGCAGAGCAGCAGAGCCCAGTGATAACCTACATATAAACTACAGCAGAGCAGCAGAGCCCAGTGATAACCTACATATAAACTACAGCAGAGCAGCAGAGCCCAGTGATAACCTACATATAACTACAGCAGAGCAGCAGAGCCCAGTGATAACCTACATATAAACTACAGCAGGGCAGCAGAGCCCAGTGATAACCTACATATAAACTACAGCAGAGCAGCAGAGCCCAGTGATAACCTACATATAAACTACAGCAGAGCAGCAGAGCAGCAGAGCCCAGTGATAACCTACATATAAACTACAGCAGAGCAGCAGAGCCCAGTGATAACCTACATATAAACTACAGCAGAGCAGCAGAGCCCAGTGATAACCTACATATAAACTACAGCAGAGCAGCAGAGCAGCAGAGCCCAGTGATAACCTACATATAAACTACAGCAGAGCAGCAGAGCCCAGTGATAACCTGCATATACACTACAGCAGAGCAGCAGAGCCCAGTGATAACCTGCATATACACTACAGCAGAGCAGCAGAGCCCAGTGATAACCTACATATAAACTACAGCAGGGCAGCAGAGCCCAGTGATAACCTACATATAAACTACAGCAGAGCAGCAGAGCCCAGTGATAACCTACATATAAACTACAGCAGAGCAGCAGAGCAGCAGAGCAGCAGAGCCCAGTGATAACCTACATATAAACTACAGCAGAGCAGCAGAGCCCAGTGATAACCTACATATAAACTACAGCAGAGCAGCAGAGCCCAGTGATAACCTACATATAAACTACAGCAGAGCAGCAGAGCCCAGTGATAACCACATATAAACTACAGCAGAGCAGCAGAGCCCAGTGATAACCTACATATAAACTACAGCAGAGCAGCAGAGCCCAGTGATAACCTACATATAAACTACAGCAGAGCAGCAGAGCAGCAGAGCCCAGTGATAACCTACATATAAACTACAGCAGAGCAGCAGAGCCCAGTGATAACCTACATATAAACTACAGCAGAGCAGCAGAGCCCAGTGATAACCTACATATAAACTACAGCAGAGCAGCAGAGCCCAGTGATAACCTGCATTAGTATGTGTAGATCAACTTGGAAATTAAAAGCATGGCTTGTGTTTTGAAACAGTTGACATTATTAGGTAAATGGAAAGGACCCAATGATATCTTGAATAAATGCATGATCCAGTTTCATTCTCTCTCTTTCACCTCCTCACCTTGCTACCTCTCCCTCACCTCACCTCCCCTCCCCCTCCTCACCCGTTTCCTCTCCCCTCCCTCTCCTCCTCCTCCCCTCTCGCCTCCCCTACTTCCTCCCCCGCTCCTCCTCTCTCCAGGTGGGTGAGAACCGCAGGGTGCTCCACGCGCTGCGCTCCCTGTTAGAGGAGTTCAGGGAGGAGTTGAGGGAGGAGGAGAGCAGGAGGTGCCAGCTGCAGCAAAACTACGCCAACGACAAGGCATCCTGGGAGGTCAAATGGGCCAAAATGAAGTGTCACGTCGCTCAGGTAACTCTAATCCAGGCACACACACACACACACACACACAGAGAGAGAGCTACGCCAACGACAAGGCATCCTGGAAGGTCAAATGGGCAGAGATGAAGTGTCACGTTGCTCAAAGTAACTTACTCAAGATGTCTGCCTTAAAGAGACAGCAGCACTGGGACTTAATTACTACTCACAGTAAGTATATTGATACAAATAATGAGTTCATGTAGGCCTGAAGGTACTCTTGGCTCCTGAGAAGTGAAAGGGCGGTGATGAAGTGTGATGTTGCTCAGGTACACAGATGGTGCTGTCTGCAGTTAAAGGGCCCAAACATGTGTCATACCTTCCTCTTGTCCTTGAGGTTATCAATTATCAAACACAGTCACAGATGATGCTGGCCACCTTAAAGAGACCGCAGCACTAAGACAGATATAACTACAGTGAGGTTCTTCTTGACTCAGGACAGTCAGTTTTGTCTGAGTAGAACCAACTGTGTCCGTTCATAATCAGTTTTTGTGTTTGAGCTCCAACATTTCGACTAAACCCAGCGAGCCAACACAAATGATAAATGTCCTTATTGCGTATCCGTTCAATCATTTCTTCTTTGTTCAGAGCAGTCTTGCATATTATTTCCTATGACGATGAGAATGTTTGATATTCCTCCACAGAACACAGGCTGGCTGGAGGGCATCTTCTTCTGGTTCACTTTAACAACTCCTTAGAAAACAATGTGGAGTTTTCTGTATTCTGTTACAGTGCTGTTTCACAATACAGGCTGCTGAAAATACTTTTGTCAGTACCCAAGTATATCACAGATATCTGTTCAAACACAAATAACTTCATCTAATAACACATATCTATCAAACTATCAACCTGATTGTAGTCAGGTGATCTGACAGACTGATTGTAGTCAGGTGATCTGACAGACTGATTGTATTCAGGTGATCTGACAGACTGATTGTAGTCAGGTGATCTGACAGACTGATTGTAGTCAGCTGATCTGACAGACTGATTGTAGTCAGGTGATCTGACAGACTGATTGTATTCAGGTGACCTGACAGAATGATTGTAGTCAGGTCATCTGACACAGACAGAGTTTCTCCTGGTCAGGAAAATGACCCATCCTCATACTCCGCCACATTGTTATGGATTGTTCATCAACTGAACTAATATATTGTCTGTCTGTTATGTGTTCAACCAGCTGGAAGAGGAGAGACAAGAAGAGAAAGGAGAGGAGAGAGGAGAAGCCAGAGGGGAGGCACAGGGAGGAGGAGGAGGAGGAGGAGGAGGAGACCCAGACGGGGCCTTTAAGCAGGAGCGAGAGGAGCACCGTTGCCTCCTGGCCGAGAGCCACAGCACCTCCCTGGACCTCCACTGGAAGCTGCAACACGGAGAGAAGAGGTGGGGGAGGGAGAGGAGAGACCTGCTGGAACGCTTCGACCAAGAGAGACAGGAGTGGGACAGCAACATGAGAAACATGCACCACAAGATGGAGAGGGTGAGGAGGGGGAGGGGGAGAGGAGGGAGAGGAGGGAGAGGAGGCGAGAAGAGGCGGTTTTTAGAGGGGGAGAGAGGGAGAGGAGGGAGAGAGGGGTAGAGGAGGGAGAGAGGGGGAGAGGGGGAGAGGAACTCTGTCTGAAACTACTGAGAGCAACTCTCTCCATATTCTGTAGCCACATCACCCTGCCAGAGACTACTGAGAGCAACTCTCTCCATATTCTGTAGCCAACATCACCCTGTCAGAGACTACTGAGAGCAACTCTCTCCATATTCTGTAGCCACATCACCCTGTCAGAGACTACTGAGAGCAACTCTCTCCATATTCTGTAGCCACATCACCCTGTCAGAGACTACTGAGAGCAACTCTCTCCATATTCTGTAGCCACATCACCCTGTCAGAGACTACTGAGAGCAACTCTCTCCATATTCTGTAGCCACATCACCCTGTCTGAAACTACTGAGAGCAACTCTCTCCATATTCTGTAGCCACATCACCCTGTCAGAGACTACTGAGAGCAACTCTCTTCATATTCTGTAGCCACATCACCCTGTCAGAGACTACTGAGAGCAACTCTCTTCATATTCTGTAGCCACATCACCCTGTCAGAGACTACTGATGTAATGTTAGAATGCAAATCTTATACAAAGTATGAAACTTCGTAACTGAATCCCTTCCTTCCCCCCTCTCTCTCTTCCCCTCCCTCTCCTCTCCTCTCCTCTCCTCTCCTCTCTCTCCTCTCTCTCTCCTCTCTCTCTCCTCTCCTCTCCTCTCCTCTCCTCTCCTCTCCTCTCCTCTCCTCTCCTCTCCTCTCCTCTCCTCTCCTCTCCTCTCCTCTCTCTCCTCCCCCCACAGCTGCAGGGAGAGCTTGACGTACGGAGGGGCAGTGAGGGCTCACCATCCAACGTGAAAGACGGGGAAACAGCGGGAGGACACAGGGGTGTCTTTCCCCCCCAGGAGAGCCCATGTAAGGCCCCTCGCTCCCCAAGGTCCCCCCGCTCCCCTCGCTCTGCCATCCCCGGCCCGGTTTCCCTTCCCTCCCACTCCCACTCGGACTCGGAGGCCCATGAAGACAAGGGGGCTGTAGTGAGGTTCAGATGCCCAACAGAGAACCTTTTCCTGGACGCTCTGACACTGGACTCCCTGGGTGGCCTGGAGGCCCCACCTCCCTGCAGACTGGACTCTGACAAGAGGTTCCCTTGTATGAACCAGGTGAGACATGTCAGACTCTGGGTGCGTCCCAAATTGCACCCTATTCCCTAGATAGTGCACTACTTATGACCAGAGCCATATGGGTCCTAAAGTAGTGCACTATATAGGGAATAGGGTGCCATTCTCTGGTCTAAAGTAGTGCACTATATAGGGAATAGGGTGCCATTCTCTGGTCTAAAGTAGTGCAATATATAGGGAATAGGGTGCCATTCTCTGGTCTAAAGTAGTGCACTATATAGGGAATAGGGTGCCATTCTCTGGTCTAAAGTAGTGCACTATATAGGGAATAGGGTGCCATTCTCTGGTCTAAAGTAGTGCACTATATAGGGAATAGGGTGCCATTCTCTGGTCTAAAGTAGTGCACTATATAGGGAATAGGGTGCCATTCTCTGGTCTAAAGTAGTGCACTATATAGGGAATAGGGTGCCATTCTCTGGTCTAAAGTAGTGCACTATATAGGGAATAGGGTGCCATTCTCTGGTCTAAAGTAGTGCACTATATAGGGAATAGGGTGCCATTCTCTGGTCTAAAGTAGTGCACTATATAGGGAATAGGGTGCCATTCTCTGGTCTAAAGTAGTGCACTATATAGGGAATAGGGTCCCATTCTCTGGTCTAAAGTAGTGCACTATATAGGGAATAGGGTGCCATTCTCTGGTCTAAAGTAGTGCACTATATAGGGAATAGGGTGCCATTCTCTGGTCTAAAGTAGTGCACTATATAGGGAATAGGGTGCCATTCTCTGGTCTAAAGTAGTGCACTATATAGGGAATAGGGTGCCATTCTCTGGTCTAAAGTAGTGCACTATATATGGAATAGGGTGCCATTCTCTGGTCTAAAGTAGTGCACTATATAGGGAATAGGGTGCCATTCTCTGGTCTAAAGTAGTGCACTATATATGGAATAGGGTGCCATTCTCTGGTCTAAAGTAGTGCACTATATAGGGAATAGGGTGCCATTCTCTGGTCTAATGTAGTGCACTATATAGGGAATAGGGTGCCATTCTCTGGTCTAAAGTAGTGCACTATATATGGAATAGGGTGCCATTCTCTGGTCTAAAGTAGTGCACTATATAGGGAATAGGGTGCCATTCTCTGGTCTAAAGTAGTGCACTATATATGGAATAGGGTGCCATTCTCTGGTCTAAAGTAGTGCACTATATAGGGAATAGGGTGCCACTTGGGACGCAGTCCAGGAATGTCTAAAAGTAACAGCTCACCCCTAAAGTGTTCTTTAGGGCGTTTTCAGACCTCAAAAGAGTGGTCTTCTTCAATATTGGTCCAGTGCCGGGTTTTGGTCCAGCCCTGCACTAACACTGCTGTGTGTGTGTGTGTGTGTGTGGGTGTGTGCGTGCGTGCGTGCGTTTGTGTGTTACTTCAGGTGCTGAATGAGATCCCAGACAGAGAAGACCCGTCTATGTACCAGGAAGAGGAAGAGATGGGTTTTGGTAGCCTGCTCAGGTAACTGACTTCTTCCTGCTTACCTCAACCAATCCTTGTTGTTTTACTGTAACAACCAATCCTTGTTGTTTTACTGTAACAACCAATCCTTGTTGTTGTTACTTTAAGGGTTCTCAGTGATTTACCTGGATTCATCCAAATGATACATTACTGGTATTGTTTCCACTTATCTTATCTACACAGGCTGCCATTTTAACATTTACAATAGGAATGCTTTCTGCTTTTGACTGTTGTGTACTCTGAACTCCCCTCACTGTATTTTAAACAAGTCTACTGTACTTATAAATCCTTTGAGTAAAGAAATGACTGCTGTTAGAAGTGATATTTCCTGGTGGTTTGTGTTGAAGCAGCTCTTAGTGATATTTCCTGGTGGTTTGCGTTGAAGCAGCTCTTAGTGATATTTCCTGGTGGTTTGTGTTAAAGCAGCTCTTAGGGATATTTCCTGGTGGTTTGCGTTGAAGCAGCTCTTTGTGAAAGATCATAATGGTACATGATCCAAGTCATCGCAGCCTGACAATTAATTATTGAATCATTTTAAAGCGATCCCTGATTAAATGAAATGAAACCATTAACTGGCCTTTATCGAGAGAACAAACAAGATGTTTTTATACTCTTTTTGTAGTTTCAAGAAATTGGGAACAGTGAAGAGGCTGTAACATGTTGTTTAGACAAGAGATATCAGAGAGACAGTCCTACCTGTGCTGTTTATCTCTGACCGTCCTTCTCTACATCTTTCTTCTGTGGAACAGTAGTGGATCCGTGATGCTGAATCCTCTCCTCTTCTCTTCTGTCCTTTTATTGTTCTGTCCTCTCTCCACTCCTCTCCCTTGTTACATTGTATGATAATGTAATTGTTAAACGTTTTATTGAAACCTTTGCTCTCCCCCTCCACAGGGCTAAGTCGGTCTGTTCTATGAGTGACTTCCAGCGTCTAATGGACAGCTCTCCCTTCCTGCCTGACAAGAGTCGTCATGGTGACCGCGGCCGTGACGATGTGACTCCGCCGCTGTCACCTGACGACCTGAAGTACATAGAGGAGTTCAACAGTAAGGGGTGGGACTTCCCCGGCCCTGGCCCCTCCCCGACACCAGGCCACCACACCCCCACAGCCATGGAAACCTGGGCAGAACGGCCCATTTCAGGTACTGATGTTGCTTGCTCATGGTTTAATGCTGTCTGTTTTTTACCATGACTGTTTTTTTTTGTTTGTTTTGTTTTGTTGTTACAATAAAAAACAAACACAAACATCCACAACATCACATCTGCCCAGATCCACCTGCTCACACCCCCATCTCCATCAACCACATCACACCTGCCCAGACCCACCTGCTCACACCCCCATCTCCATCAACCACATCACACCTGCCCAGACCCACCTGCTCACACACCCATCTCCATCAACCACATCACACCTGCCCAGACCCACCTGCTCACACCCCCATCTCCATCAACCACATCACACCTGCCCAGACCCACCTGCTCACACCCCCATCTCCATCCACAACATCACACCTGCCCAGACCCACCTGCTCACGCCCCCATCTCCATCCACAACATCACACCTGCCCAGACCTGCCTGCTCACACCCCCATCTCCATCCACAACATCACACCTGCCCAGACCCACCTGCTCACACCCCCATCTCCATCAACCACATCACACCTGCCCAGACCCACCTGCTCACACCCCCATCTCCAGCGCCTGCATCACTCTCCGCCACTTGGCCTCAAACTGCACCATTTTGTTTCTCTCCGTGGCCCACGCACTTTCCATTGTCTTAACAATGGCGGATTGGTTGATATCCAGTTTTTAAGTCTACATTTTTCAAGATGATTGACAAGAAAAGTATTGTCCAACCCATCGGGTATCTCACTGCACCCTCATATGCCATGTCATTTACATTGTAATACTTCTGACAGCCAACATTCTAACTCCGGCCATAACTTTTGGACTTGATAGCATTCCCAGAAGGCATGGATTATTGAGTCATTGTTAGTTTTACACTTAAGACATGACTCTGCCGTTGTGCTGTAGAATTTGTGAATGTTGTCTCTTGTGTAATAAATTAGTTTATACTGGATTAATCTTACATTTTTGTTAACTGTAATTTAGTTCTGTCCCAACATTCCCTCCACCTTGTGCCACTATCAGTTCTTTTAAAGTCTTGGTTCCAATAGGTTATATATATTTTTTAAGAGATTGTCAGTTGGATCGGCTCTCTGCAAGATTTTTTATATCTTACCTATCATATGAACATCCTTTTCTGACTCAAATAGGGTTTCCTCATGATTACTCTGATGTCCAAAATATTTCAAATCGAGATGTCTTGATAAGAAACTTTTAAGTTGCATGTACTTGGAAAAATCTACATTGGTCAGTCCAAAATTCCTTTTTAATTCTGTCATGGAAATACATTTATTTCCTATTACCAAGTCATTTAACAATTTCTATGTCTTTAGAATTCTGAAAAGCTGTCCAAGGATTGTTCCATAGGGCTTTGTTTTTAGGCAGTGATGGTTTTTTATCTCAAACTTTTTAAAAGTTTAATTCTAATTCTAATCATTCCACATTCTCTCTCTGCCTCTCTCTCTCTCTCTCTCTCTCTCTCTCTCTCTCTCTCTCTCTCTCTCTCTCTCTCCTCTCTCTCTCTCTCTCTTTCTCTCTCTCTCTCTCTTTCTCTGACTTCCAGAACCATTCCAGCCGGCCTCGTGGTTCCTGACCACCAGCACCCGATCCAGCCCAGAGCCCCCCTGCCCACCCCACTGCCAGCGCTCCCCACTCAGGGGCAACGGGGGTGACGTAGGGGGGGGGATAGGGGTCCACGTCTCCCACAGCCCCACCCGATCTCCCGGGCCCCCCGATCAAGACTACCTGTACCCCAAAGGAAACAAGGGGGGTGGGGGTGTTGGTGAGGTGGCGGGTGACTCCGGGATTGGGGGGGTAGGAGGTCCAGACGAGGTGTTTGGTGATGGTAGGTGGCCTCCCTCCTGTCATAAGGAGTTATTAGAGGGTGTGGCGGGACTGCGGGGTCCCTCTGGGGGGGGTCCCATCCCCACGGTGGGGTACGCCTCGTCTCTGGGGCTGCAGCTGTCACGGAACCTCAGTGATGACATGAAGGAGGTGGCCTTCTCCGTTAGGAATTACCGCTCAGGCCCCAGCACCTCGGACCACCTGGAGCAACAGAGACAGGTCTGTTGACGTTGTTCATCCATCTAGTCTGTTGTCTGGTTGTTCATCCATCTAGTCTGTTGTCTGGTTGTTCATCCATCTAGTCTGTTGTCTAGTTGTTCATCCATCTAGTCTGTTGTCTGGTTGTTCATCCATCTAGTCTGTTGTTCATCCATCTAGTCTGTTGTCTAGTTGTTCATCCATCTAGTCTGTTGTCTAGTTGTTCATCCATCTAGTCTGTTGTTCATCCATCTAGTCTGTTGTTCATCCATCTAGTCTGTTGTCTAGTTGTTCATCCATCTAGTCTGTTGTCTAGTTGTTCATCCATCTAGTCTGTTGTCTAGTTGTTCATCCATCTAGTATGTTGTTCATCCATCAAGTATGTTGTCTAATTGTTCATCCATCTAGTCTGTTGTCTAGTTGTTCATCCATCTAGTCTGTTGTTCATCCATCTAGTCTGCTGTCTAGTTGTTCATCCATCTAGTCTGTTGTTCATCCATCTAGTCTGTTGTCTAGTTGTTCATACATCTAGTCTGTTGTTCTTCCATCTAGTCTGTTGTCTGGTTGTTCATCCATCTAGTCTGTTTTCTGGTTGTCCATCCATCTAGTCTGTTGTCTGGTTGTTCATCCATCTAGTCTGTATTTCATCCATCTAGTCTGTTGTCTATTGTTCATCCATCTAGTCTGTTGTTCATCCATCCTAGTCTGTTGTCTAGTTTGTTCATCCATCTAGTCTGTTGTCTAGTTGTTAAACCATCTAGTCTGTTGTTCATCCATCTAGTCTGTTGTCTAGTTGTTCATCCATCTAGTCTGTTGTTCATCCATCAAGTATGTTGTCTAATTGTTCATCTATCTAGTCTGTTGTCTAGTTGTTCATCCATCTAGTCTGTTGTTCATCCATCTAATCTGCTGTCTAGTTGTTCATCCATCTAGTCTATTGTCTGGTTGTTTCATCCATCTGTCTGTTGTTCATCCATCTAGTCTGTTTTCTGGTTGTTTCATCCATCTAGTCTGTTGTCTGGTTGTTCATCCATCTAGTCTGTTGTTCATCCATCTAGTCTGTTGTCTGGTTGTTCATCCATCTAGTCTATTGTCTGGTTGTTCATCCATCTAGTCTGTTGTCTAGTCCTTCATCCATCTAGTCTGTTGTCTGGTTGTTCATCCATTTCGTCTGTTGTCTAGTTGTTCATCCATCTCGTCTGTTGTCTAGTTGTTCATCCATCTAGTCTGTTGTCTAGTTGTTCATCCATCATGTCTGTTGTCTGGTTGTTCATACATCTAGTCTGTTGTCTAGTTGTCATCCATCTACTCTGTTGTCTAGTTGCTCATCCATCTAGTCTGTTGTCTAGTTGTTCATCCATCTAGTCTGTTGTCTGGTTGTTCATCCATCTAGTCTGTTTTCTAGTTGTTCATCCATCTAGTCTGTTGTCTGGTTGTTCATCCATCTAGTCTGTTGTCTGGTTGTTCGTCCATCTAGTCTGTTGTTCATCCATCTAGTCTGTTGTCTAGTTGTTCATCCATCTAGTCTGTTGTCTAGTTGTTCATCCATCTAGTCTGTTGTTCATCCATCTAGTCTGTTGTCTAGTTGTTCATCCATCTAGTATGTTGTTCATCCATCTAGTCTGTTGTCTGGTTGTTCATCCATCTAGTCTGTTGTCTGGTTGTTCATCCTTCTAGTCTGTTGTCTGGTTTTTCATCCATCTAGTCTGTTGTTCATCCATCTAGTCTGTTTTCTGGTTGTTCATCCATCTAGTCTGTTGTCTGGTTGTTCATCCATCTAGTCTGTTGTCTGGTTGTTCATCCATCTAGTCTGTTGTCTAGTTGTTCATCCATCTAGTCTGATGTCTGGTTGTTCATCCATCTAGTCTGTTGTCTAGTTGTTCATCCATCTAGTCTGTTGTCTCGTTGTTCATCCATTTCGTCTGTTGTCTAGTTGTTCATCCATCTCATCTGTTGTCTAGTTGTTCATCCATCTAGTCTGTTGTCTAGTTGTTCATCCATCATGTCTGTTGTCTGGTTGTTCATACATCTAGTCTGTTGTCTAGTTGTCATCCATCTACTCTGTTGTCTAGTTGTTCATCCATCTAGTCTGTTGTCTAGTTGTTCATCCATCTAGTCTGTTGTCTGGTTGTTCATCCATCTAGTCTGTTTTCTAGTTGTTCATCCATCTCGTCTGTTGTCTGGTTGTTCATCCATCTAGTCTGTTGTCTGGTTGTTCGTCCATCTAGTCTGTTGTCTGGTTGTTCATCCATCTAGTCTGTTGTTCATCCATCTAGTCTGTTTTCTGGTTGTTCATCCATCTAGTCTGTTGTCTAGTTGTTCATCCATCTAGTCTGATGTCTAGTTGTTCATCCCATCTAGTCTGTTGTTCATCCATCTAGTCTGTTGTCTAGTGTTCATCCCATCTAGTCGTTGTTCATCCATCTAGTCTGTTGTCTAGTTGTCATCCATCTAGTCTGTGTTCATCCATTAGTCTGTTGGTAGTTGTTCATCCATCTAGTATATTGTTCATCCATCTAGTCTGTTGTCTAGTTGTTCATCCATCTAGTCTGTTTTCTGGTTGTTCTTCCATCTAGTCTGTTGTCTGGTTGTTCATCCATCTAGTCTGTTGTCTAGTCGTTCATCCATCTAGTCTGTTGTCTAGTTGTTCATCCATCTAGTCTTATGTCTGGTTGTTCATCCATCTAGTCTGTTGTCTAGGTGTTCATCCATCTAGACTGTTGTCTGGTTGTTCATCCATCTCGTCTGTTGTCTAGTTGTTCATCCATCTCGTCTGTTGTCTAGTTGTTCATCCATCTAGTCTGTTGTCTAGTTGTTCATCCATCTAGTCTGTTGTCTGGTTGTTCATCCATCTAGTCTGTTGTCTAGTTGTTCATCCATCTAGTCTGTTGTCTGGTTGTTCATCCATCTAGTCTGTTGTCTGGTTGTTCATCCATCTAGTCTGTTGTCTGGTTGTTCATCCATCTAGTCTGTTGTCTGGTTGTTCATCCATCTAGTCTGTTGTCTGGTTGTTCATCCATCTAGTCTGTTGTCTGGTTGTTCATCCATCTAGTCTGTTGTTCATCCATCTAGTCTGTTGGTTAGTTGTTCATCCATCTAGTCTGTTGTCTAGTTGTTCATCCATCTATTCTGTTGTCTGGTTGTTCATCCATCTAGTCTGTTGTCTGGTTGTTCATCCATCTAGTCTGTTGTCTAGTTTTTCATCCATCTAGTCTGTTGTCTAGTTGTTCATCCATCTCGTCTGTTGTCTGGTTGTTCATCCATCTAGTCTGTTGTCTGGTTGTTCATCCATCTAGTCTGTTGTCTGGTTGTTCATCCATCTAGTCTGTTGTCTAGTTGTTCATCCATCTAGTCTGTTGTCTGGTTGTTCATCCATCTAGTCTGTTGTCTAGTTGTTCATCCATCATGTCTGTTGTCTTGTTGTTCATCCATCTAGTCTGTTGTCTAGTTGTTCATCCATCTAGTTTGTTGTCTGGTTGTTCATCCATCTAGTCTGTTGTCTGGTTGTTCATCCATCTAGTCTGTTGTCTAGTTGTTCATCCATCTAGTCTGTTGTCTGGTTGTTCATCCATCTAGTCTGTTGTCTAGTTGTTCATGCATCATGTCTGTTGTCTTGTTGTTCATCCATCTAGTCTGTTGTCTAGTTGTTCATCCATCTAGTTTGTTGTCTGGTTGTTCATCCATCTAGTCTGTTGTCTAGTTGTTCATCCATCTAGTCTGTTGTCTGGTTGTTCATCCATCTGTTGTCTAGTTGTTCATCCATCTAGTCTGTTGTCTGGTTGTTCATCCATCTAGTCTGTTGTCTGGTTGTTCATCCATCTAGTCTGTTGTCTAGTTGTTCATCCATCTAGTCTGTTGTCTAGTTGTTCATCCATCTAGTCTGTTGTCTGGTTGTTCATCCATCTAGTCTGTTGTCTGGTTGTTCATCCATCTAGTCTGTTGTCTAGTTGTTCATCCATCTAGTCTGTTGTCTAGTTGTTCATCCATCTCGTCTGTTGTCTAGTTGTTCATCCATCTAGTCTGTTGTCTGGTTGTTCATCCATCTAGTCTGTTGTTCATCCATCTAGTCTGTTTTCTGGTTGTTCTTCCATCTAGTCTGTTGTCTGGTTGTTCATCCATCTAGTCTGTTGTCTAGTTGTTCATCCATCTAGTCTGATGTCTGGTTGTTCATCCATCTAGTCTGTTGTCTAGTTGTTCATCCATCTAGTCTGTTGTCTGGTTGTTCATCCATCTCGTCTGTTGTCTAGTTGTTCATCCATCTAGTCTGTTGTCTAGTTGTTCATCCATCTCGTCTGTTGTCTAGTTGTTCATCCATCTCGTCTGTTGTCTAGTTGTTCATCCATCTCGTCTGTTGTCTAGTTGTTCATCCATCTCGTCTGTTGTCTAGTTGTTCATCCATCTAGTCTGTTGTCTGGTTGTTCATCCATCTCGTCTGTTGTCTAGTTGTTCATCCATCTAGTCTGTTGTCTAGTTGTTCATCCATCTCGTCTGTTGTCTAGTTGTTCATCCATCTAGACTGTTGTCTAGTTGTTCATCCATCTAGTCTGTTGTCTAGTTGTTCATCCATCTCGTCTGTTGTCTAGTTGTTCATCCATCTAGTCTGTTGTCTAGTTGTTCATCCATCTCGTCTGTTGTCTAGTTGTTCATCCATCTAGTCTGTTGTCTGGTTGTTCATCCATCTAGTCTGTTGTCTGGTTGTTCATCCATCTAGTCTGTTGTCTAGTTTTTCATCCATCTAGTCTGTTGTTCATCCATCTAGTCTGTTTTCTGGATGTTCTTCCATCTAGTCTGTTGTCTAGTCGTTCATCCATCTAGTCTATTGTCTAGTTGTTCATCCATCTAGTCTGATGTCTGGTTGTTCATCCATCTAGTCTGTTGTCTAGTTGTTCATCCATCTAGTCTGTTGTTCATCCATCTAGTCTGTTGTCTAGTTGTTCATCCATCTCGTCTGTTGTCTGGTTGTTCATCCATCTAGTCTGTTGTCTAGTTGTTCATCCATCTAGTCTGTTGTCTAGTTGTTCATCCATCTAGTCTGTTGTCTAGTTGTTCATCCATCTAGTCTGTTGTCTAGTTGTTCATCCATCTAGTCTGTTGTCTGGTTGTTCATCCATCTAGTCTGTTGTCTAGTTGTTCATCCATCTAGTCTGTTGTCTGGTTGTTCATCCATCTAGTCTGTTGTCTAGTTGTTCATCCATCTAGTCTGATGTCTGGTTGTTCATCCATCTAGTCTGTTGTCTGGTTGTTCATCCATCTAGTCTGTTGTCTAGTTTTTCATCCATCTAGTCTGTTGTTCATCCATCTAGTCAGTTTTCTAGTTGTTCATCCATCTAGTCTGTTGTCTGGTTGTTCATCCATCTAGTCTGTTGTCTGGTTGTTCATCCATCTAGTCTGTTGTCTAGTTTTTCATCCATCTAGTCTGTTGTTCATCCATCTAGTCAGTTTTCTAGTTGTTCATCCATCTAGTCTGTTGTCTAGTTGTTCATCCATCTAGTCTGTTGTCTGGTTGTTCATCCATCTAGTCTGTTTTCTGGTTGTTCTTCCATCTAGTCTGTTGTCTGGTTGTTCATCCATCTAGTCTGTTTTCTGGTTGTTCTTCCATCTAGTCTGTTTTCTGGTTGTTCATCCATCTAGTCTGTTGTCTGGTTGTTCATCCATCTAGTCTGATGTCTGGTTGTTCATCCATCTAGTCTGTTGTCTAGTTGTTATACATCTAGTCTGTTGTCTGGTTGTTCATCCATCTCGTCTGTTGTCTAGTTGTTCATCCATCTCGTCTGTTGTCTGGTTGTTCATCCATCTCGTCTGTTGTCTAGTTGTTCATCCATCTCGTCTGTTGTCTAGTTGTTCATCCATCATGTATGTTGTCTGGTTGTTCATCCATCTAGTCTGTTGTCTAGTTGTTCATCCATCTAGTCTGTTGTCTGGTTGTTCATCCATCTAGTCTGTTGTCTGGTTGTTCATCCATCTAGTCTGTTTTCTAGTTGTTCATCCATCTAGTCTGTTGACTAGTTGTTCATCCATCTCGTCTGTTGTCTAGTTGTTCATCCATCTAGTCTTGTCTAGTTGTTCATCCATCTAGTCTGTTGTCTGGTTGTTCATCCATCTAGTCTGTTGTCTGGTTGTTCATACATCTAGTCTTTTGTCTGGTTGTTCATCCATCTAGTCTGTTGTTCATCCATCTAGTCTGTTGTTCATCCATCTCGTCTGTTGTCTGGTTGTTCATCCATCTAGTCTGTTGTCTAGTTGTTCATCCATCTAGTCTGTTGTCTAGTTGTTCATCCATCTCGTCTGTTGTCTGGTTGTTCATCCATCTAGTATGTTGTCTGGTTGTTCATCCATCTAGTCTGTTGTGTAGTTGTTCATACATCTAGTCTGTGTTTCATCCATCTAGTCTGTTGTCTGGTTGTTCATCCATCTAGTCTGTTGTCTGGTTGTTCATCCAATCTTCAATAACTTAGTTGATCTGCGTAGTTTCTTTTATATAGTCACTGTCTGTGAGGTTTGTACAGTATACTGTCTTTGTGAGGTTTCTATAGTATACTGTTTAAGCTTAGGAGATCATCTCCTTACCTGTGCATATCACTTAGTCTTTCACTCGTCTGTTTAACTTACTCCACAGCTCCGAGACACGGCGTGTCAGACAAATGGTTTTACCACTCGGGGTACCCAGACCACTCTGACCATCAGTGTGGGACTACAGACAGACATCCTCCGCACCCTCACCAGCTCCCCCCACCGCTGCCTCACTCCTAAAGGAGGCAGCTCAACCCCCATCTCCTCCCCTTCCCGAACCATCCGCAAGATACAGTACTCTCCCGTAGTCCAGTCCAAGTTTGAGCGTCCATGTTGTTCTCCTAAGTACGGCTCCCCTAAACTCCAGAGGAAGCTGTCAACGTCATCGAAGGCTGACCTCCCAGGTGGGGCCTCCAGCTCCACGGCCGGCACCAGGGCCCCTACCCCCACCACCCCCCAGAAGGGTGCCTCTGAGTCGGCCTGGGCTCGCTCCACCACCACCAGGGACTCTCCGGTTCACACCACCATCAACGACGGCCTGTCTTGTCTCTTCAACATCATAGACCACAGCCCCGTGGCCTACGAACCCCCGCAGTGCAAATTCACCAAGTCCCCCAGCCGCTCCCGCCCCACCCCCCTTGACCCCTCACCTCCTGGTGGTCCCAGTCTACCCCCTTCAGAACCCAAAGACCCGAGATCCCTTGGAGCTGTCCAGGAGTTTCTGAGGAATGTCCGTGGGCGTTCTCCTAGCCCGGTGCAGCTGATAGTAGAGGCTCAGGGAGGGCCGGGGGGAACAGGAGGGGAGAGGACACCAGAGGTGCTCAGTATACGCCAGGACCTGTCTGCCCCGCCTGGATACACCCTGGCAGAGAACACAGCCCGCCTGCTGAACAAGAAGTTGTTGGAGCAGAGCTTCAGGGAGGAGAAGAGGCTGGGGTCTGGAGGGACTGGAGGGTCGTCAGCCCAGGGCCAGGGAGGCTACACGGGAGACGGGCGTCAGGCAGAGGGAGACAGGAACCAGCCTGGGTGTTTGGAGGTAAATACTAACACCTACTGGATTTACTGCTTAGTGTATATTAGGATCGCTTTTAGGTCACCTGTTGGTCACCTGTTGGTCACCTGTTGGGTGTGTTCTTTCCTAGAGTCCCAGAAATACGCAATTAAAAACCAAAATAAACACTAACTAGGATAAGAAAATAACATTAAAATGTTTTCTTATTTACATTTTTATAACTCAATGCTGGTGTTTTTTTCTGTAAATACTAACACTCTACTAACTGGATTTGTTTGTTGTTTATATTTGTTGTTTGTTTATTAGCCCCCCATTGGGCTAAAGACCCAGACAACCAAAATTAAAACCAAAAACAAACTCAATTTAGGAAATAATCATAATAAAATCAAATACATTATAACTCCGTGCTGGTGTTTTCTTCTCAGATCAAAAAGCATTGACTGACACAATGGTAATGTTATGGTAATGTTTATTATTTACAGTATTTTACTGTATTCTATTGTATTCTACAGTATTCTACTGTATTTTGCCATAGTTCAGTATATATAATTGTGCTTCTTTGTTTCTTCTCTATACTGGAATGTTCTGACTCCTTTTGACTCCTATCACTCTGCTTCAGCCACCCACCACCCATTCAGTATCACTCTGCTTCAGCCACCCACCCCCCATTCAGTATCACTCTGCTTCAGCCACTCACCACCCATTCAGTATCACTCTGCTTCAGCCACCCACCACCCATTCAGTATCACTCTGCTTCAGCCACCACTCACCACCCATTCAGTATCACTCTGCCTCAGCCTCCACTCACCACCCATTCAGTATCACTCTGCTTCAGCCGCCACTCACCACCCATTCAGTATCACTCTGCTTCAGCCACTCACCACCCATTCAGTATCACTCTGCTTCAGCCACCACCCACCACCCATTCAGTATCACTCTGCTTCAGCCACCCACCACCCATTCAGTATCACTCTGCTTCAGCCACCACTCACCACCCATTCAGGATCACTCTGCTTCAGCCACCAACCACCACCCATTCAGTATCACTCTGCTTCAGCCTCCACTCACCACCCATTCAGTATCACTCTGCTTCAGCCACCACCCACCACCCATTCAGTATCACTCTGCTTCAGCCACCACTCACCACCCATTCAGTATCACTCTGCTTCAGCCACCACTCACCACCCATTCAGGATCACTCTGCTTCAGCCTCCACTCACCACCCATTCAGGATCACTCTGCTTCAGCCACCACCCACCACCCATTCAGTATCACTCTGCTTCAGCCACCACTCACCACCCATTCAGTATCACTCTGCTTCAGCCTCCACTCACCACCCATTCAGTATCACTCTGCTTCAGCCACCACTCACCACCCATTCAGTATCACTCTGCTTCAGCCACCACTCACCACCCATTCAGCATCACTCTGCTTCAGCCTCCACTCACCTCCCATTCAGGATCACTCTTCTTCAGCCACCACTCACCACCCATTCAGTATCACTCTGCTTCAGCCACCACTCACCACCCATTTAGTATCACTCTGCTTCAGCCACCACCCACCACCCATTCAGTATCACTCTGCTTCAGCCACCACTCACCACCCATTTAGTATCACTCTGCTTCAGCCTCCCCTCACCACCCATTCAGGATCACTCTGCTTCAGCTTCCACTCACCACCCATTCAGTATCACTCTGCTTCAGCTTCCACTCACCACCCATTCAGTATCACTCTGCTTCAGCCACCACTCGCCACCCATTCAGTATCACTCTGCTTCAGCTTCCACTCACCACCCATTCAGTATCACTCTGCTTCAGCCACCACTCGCCACCCATTCAGTATCACTCTGCTTCAGGACACTGGTAGTATTGCAGTGACCATAGGGAGTAGGGCTGATTACTGGTGGTTTCTGGGGGTTACTGGTGGTTACTGGGGGTTTCTGGGGGTTTCAAACCCTGGCTATCTGTCCTAACCTAACATAGCAGGTTTTCAGCGGAAAAGGAAGCTAGGTTGAATTAGCTGTATCCCTGAAAACCGGATACATCCGGTTGTTGCCAAGCAATGTGTTCAATATGTTGAAAAAACATGAATATAACGTTTGGTTGAAATTCTTTAAGTAATTGCAGTATCAGTAGACCACCAGAGGATCAAAAAGTAGGTTAAAAGCTATATAGCATTATGATAATACTGTATGTTAAAAGTGAATGAAAACATTACAGTGAAGCACTAAGTTATATTCCTACACTGAATGTACAAAACATTAAGAACACCTTCCTAATATTGAGTTGCACCTACTACCATACCCTATTCAAAGGCACTTACAGTGCATTCAGAACAGCGCCGGGGAAGATGGCTGCCGTTTTACAGCCCTCTAACCAATTGTACTATTATGTGTGTTTTTCCGCGTTATTTGTAATTTATTTGGTCATAATGTTTCTGCCATCGTCTCTTATAACCAAAAAGAGCTTCTGGATATCAGGACAGCGACTACTCACCTCGTATTGGACGAAGATTTTTTCTTCAACGAGGCGGCCGCGAAGGATATCATACAGACACCCGACAAGGCCCAAATCCCCGTCATTCGCGTGAGGAAGAGACGGAGATATTGCGGACGCAGATCCGGGTGCCTTGTAAGGATCCGATGGCGAGCGAGTAAACTGCCTCTTCCATCAATCCTATTAGCCAACGTTCAATCATTTGAAAATAAATTGGACGACTTAAGATTACGGTTATCCTACCAACGGGACATTAAAAACTGTAATATCTTATGTTTCACCGAGTCGTGGCTGAACGACGACAATGATAACATTCAGCTAGCAGGCTATACGCTACATCGGCAGGACAGAACGGCTGACTCCGGTAAGACAAGGGGTGGCGGTCTGTGTATATTTGTAAACAACAGCTGGTGCACAAAATCAAATACTAAGGAAGTCTCGAGGTTTTGCTCGCCTGAGGTAGAGTATCTTATGATAAGCTGTAGACCACACTATTTACCAAGAGAGTTTTCATCTATATTTTTCATAGCTGTCTATTTACCACCACAAACCAATGCTGGCATTAAGATTGCACTGAATGAGTTGTACAAGGCCATTAATCAACAGGAAAACGCTCATCCAGATGCAGCGCTCCTAGTGGCCGGGGACTTTAATGCAGGGAAACTTAAATCCGTTCTACCTAATTTCTACCAGCATGTTAAATGTGCAACCAGAGGAAAAAAAACTCTAGACCACCTTTACTCCACACACAGAGACGCATACAAAGCTCTCCCTCGCCCTCCATTTGGCAAATCTGACCATAACTCTATCCTCCTGATTCCTGCTTATAAGCAAAAACTAAAGCAGGAAGCACCAGTGACTCGGTTAATAAAAAAGTGGTCAGATGACGCAGATGCTAAGCTACAGGACTGTTTTGCTAGCACAGACTGGAACATGTTCCGGGATTCTTCAGACAGCATTGAGGAGTGGTCCTCTGTAGCTCAGCTGGTAGAGCACGGCGCTTGTAACGCCAAGGTAGTGGGTTCAATCCCCGGGACCACCCATACACAAAAATGTATGCACGCATGACTGTAAGTCGCTTTGGATAAAAGCGTCTGCTAAATGGCATATTATTATTATATTATTATATTATTATAGGAGTACACCACATCAGTCACTGGCTTCATCAAAAAGTGCATCGATGATGTCGTCCCCACAGGGACCGTACGTACATACCCCAACCAGAAGCCATGGATTACAGGAAACATCCGCACTGAGCTAAAGGGTAGAGCTGCCGCTTTCAAGGAACGGGACTCTAACCCGGACGCTTATAAGAAATCCCGCTATGACCTCCGACGAACCATCAAACTGGCAAAGAGTCAATACAGGACTAAGATTGAATCGTACCACACTGGCTCTGACGCTCGTCGGATGTGGCAGGGCTTGAAAACTATTACAGACTACAAAGGGAAGCACAGCCGCGAGCTGCCCAGTGACACAAGCCTACCAGACGAGCTAAACCACTTCTATGCTCGCTTCGAGGCAAGCAACACTGAAGCATGCATGAGAGCACCAGCTGTTCCGGATGACTATGTGATCACGCTCTCCGTAGCCGATGTGAGTAAGACTTTTAAGCAGGTCAACATTCACAAGGCCGCAGGGCCAGACGGATTACCAGGACGTGTACTCTGAGCATGTGCTGACCAACTGGCAAGTGTCTTCACTGACATTTTCAACATGTCCCTGACTGAGTCTGTAATACCAACATGTTTCAAGCAGACCACCATAGTCCCCGTGCCCAAGGACTCTAAGATAACCTGCCTAAATGACTACCGACCCGTAGCACTGACGTCTGTAGCCATGAAGTGCTTTGAAAGGCTGGTCATGGCTCACATCAACAGCATTATCCCAGAAACCCTAGACCTACTCCAATTTGCATACCGCCCCAACAGATCCACAGATGATGCAATCTCTATTGCACTCCACACTGCCCTTTCCCACCTGGACAAGAGGAACACCTACGTGATAATGCTATTCATTGACTACAGCTCAGCATTCAACACCATAGTGCCCTCTAAGCTCATCACTAAGCTAAGATCCTGGGACTAAACACCTCCCTCTGCAACTGGATCCTGGACTTCCTGACGGGCCGCCCCCAGGTGGTAAGGGTAGGTAACAACACATCTGCCACACTGATCCTCAACACGGGGGCCCCTCAGGGGTGCGTGCTCAGTCCCCTCCTGTACTCTCTGTTCACCCATGACTGCATGGCCAGGCACGACTCCAACACCATCATTAAGTTTGCCGACGACACAACAGTGGTAGGCCTGATCACCGACAACGATGAGACAGCCTATAGGGAGGAGGTCAGAGATCTGGCCGTGTGGTGCCAGGACAACAACCTCTCCCTCAACGTGACCAAGACAAAGGAGATGATTGTGGACTACAGGAAAGAAAATAGGACTGAGCACGCCCCCATTCTCATCGACGGGGCTGTAGTGGAACAGGTTGAGAGCTTCAAGTTCCTTGGTGTCCACATCACCAACGAACTATCATGGTCCAAACACACCAAGACAGTCGTGAAGAGGGCACGACAAAGCCTATTCCCCCTCAGGAGACTAAAAAGATTTGGCATGGGTCCTCAGATCCTCAAAAAATTATACAGCTGCACCATCGAGAGCATCCTGACTGGTTGCATCACCGCCTGGTATGGCAACTGCTTGGCCTCCGACCGCAAGGCACTACAGAGGGTAGTGCGTACGGCCCAGTACATCACTGGGGCAAAGCTTCCTGCCTTCCAGGACCTCTATACCAGGCGGTGTCAGAGGAAGGCCCTCAAAATTGTCAAAGACTCCAGCCACCCTAGTCATAGACTGTTCTCTCTGCTACCGCACGGCAAGCGGTACCGGAGTGCCAAGTCTAGGTCCAAAAGACTTCTCAACAGCTTCTACCCCCAAGCCATAAGACTCCTGAACAGCTAATCATGGCTACCCAGACTATTTGCACTGCCCCCCCACCCCATCCTTTTTACGCTGCTGCTACTCTGTTAAGTATTTATGCACAGTCACTTTAACTCTACCCACATGTACATATTACCTCAACTACCTCAACTAGCCGGTGCCCCCGCCCATTGACTCTGCAACGGTACCCCCCTGTATATATAGCCTCCCTACTGTCACTTTATTTTACTTCTGCTCTTTTTTTTCTCAACACTTTTTTTTGTTGTTGTTTTATTTTTACTTTTTTTGTTTAAAATAAATGCACTGTTGGTTAAGGGCTGTAAGTAAGCATTTCACTGTAATGTCTGCACCTGTTGTATTCGGCGCATGTGACCAATAACATTTGATTTGATTTGATTTGATTCAGGAAAGTATTCAGACCCCTTGACTTTTTCCACATTTTGTTATGTTACAGCCTTATTCTAAAATTGATTAAATTGTTTTTTATTTCCTAATCAATCTGCACACAATACTCCATAATGACAAAGCATTTTTTCTTTTGCAAATTTATAAAAAACAGAAATATCACATTTACATAATTATTCAGACCCTTTACACAGTACCTTCTTGAAGCACCTTTAACAGAGATTACAGCCTTTAGTCTTTTTGGGTATGACGCTACAAGCTTGGCACACGTGTATTTGGGGAGTTTCTCCCATTCTTCTCTGCAGATCTTCTCAAGCTCTGTCAGGTTGGATGGGGAGCATCGCTGCACAGCTATTTTCAGGTCTCTCCAGAGATGTTTGATCGGGTTCAAGTCTGGGCTCTGGCTGAGCCACTCACTCAAGGACATTCAGAGACTTGTCCCGAAGCCACTCCTGCGTTGTCTTGGCTGTGTGCTTAGAGTCGTTGTCCTGTTGGAAGGTGAACCTTCGCCCCAGTCTGAGGTCCTGAGCGCTCTGGAGCAGGTTTCCATCAAGTATCTCTCTGTACTTTGCTCCATTAATCTTTCCCTCGATCCTGACTAGTCTCCTTGTCCCTGCCGCTGTAAAACATCCCCACAGCATGATGCTGCCACCACCATGCTTCACCGTAGGGATGGTGCCAGGTTTCCTCCAGACGTGACGCTTGGCATTCAGGTCAAAGAGTTAAATCTTGGTTTCATCAGACCAGAGAATCTTGTTTCTCATGGTCTGAGAGTCCTTTAGGTGCCTTTTGGCAAACTCCAAGTGGGCTGTCATGTGCCTTTTACTGAGGAGTGGCTTCCGTCTGACCACTCTACCATAAAGGCCTGATTGCTGAGTGCTGCAGAGATGGTTGTCCTTCTGGAAGGTTCTCCCATCCCCACAGAGGAACTCTGGAGCTCTGTCAGTGACCATCAGGTTCTTCACCTCCCTGACCAAGGCCCTTCTCCCCCGATTGCTTAGTTTGGCCTGGCGGCCAGCTCTAGGAAGAGTCTTGGTGTTTCCAAACTTCTTCCATTTAAGAATGATGGAGGCCACTGTGTTCTTGGGGTCCTTCAATGCTGCAGACATTTTTTGGTATCCTTCCCCAGATCTGTGCCTCGACACAATCCTCTCTTGGATCTCTACGGACAATTCCTTCGACCTCATGGCATGGTGTGTGCCTTTCCAAATCATGTCCAATCTATTGAATTTATCACAGGTGGACTCCAATCAAGTTGTAGAAACATCTCACGGATGATCAATGGAAACAGGATGCACCTGAGCTCAATTTCGAGTCTCATAGCAAAGGGTCTGAATACTTATGTAAATAAGGTCTTGTTTTCCTGTTTTCCCTCTCTCTCTCTTGCTCGAGAGATCTATCCGCTCTGAGCTCATCGCTCTCTATCACTCGCCGGAGCGTCCCCACCTCCGAAAGAGGAGAGAAGACGAGAGAGAAGCGAGAGAGACGAGAAAAGCGAGAGAGAGCGAGAGAGAGAGAGAGGAGCAGGAGGGAGAGCGAGAACAAAAGAGCAGAGAGAGAGAGAGGAGCGAAAAAAAAAAAGAAAAAAAAAAAAGAGAAAGAAAAAAAAAGAGAAGAGAGAGAAAAGAAAGAGAGAGAGAGAACAGAAAGAGAGAGAGGAGAGAGAACAGAAAGAGAGAGAGAGAGAGAGAGAAGAGAAAAAAAAAGAAGAAGAGAGGAGAGAGAAAAAGCGAGAAGCGAGGAGAGAGTATAGAGGAGAGAGAGAAAAAAGAGAGAGAGAGAGACTTTAAGAACCCACCCACCCCCACCCCCCCCTTCCTCTCTCCCCCTCTCTATCTGCTTCTTCTCATCTCTGGTTTTTCCTCCCTCCCTCCCTCCCTCCCTCCCTCCCCCCTGTCCCCCTGTCTTTCTCTCCTCTGTTCTGTCTATGCTATTCTGCTGATTCTAGAACCACACTGTCTTACTTACTGCTCCATGGGGACTCTAACCCTGCTTGTCCCTGAGTGATGTAAGTTCTTGTTTATTTCCTGGTTCTCTGACCTATAACCTCACGGCCGGGGGTCACAGGGTTACCATGGACCCCTCCTCATCTCACCTCACCCCCGCCCCCATCAGCCAATCACAGCATGCCTCACAGGTCAACGACGTCGGTGGAGTCAGTGGTATTGTAGCTGCGTTATTATTATCATCCACATCTGTCTGTGTAGATGTCTGCATGATCTAATATGGTATTTCATATGTAATGATTCATATTCACAAAATCAACTCCAGTGACCCAAAGAGTCATCCGTTTTCTGTCCATATCTGGCTGGATACTGTACGTCTGTCAGTGTGTTCTGCTGTAGAAGAACCAGTACTGAAAGGTTTAGTGATGGTTTACTGTTATATATATAAAACGTAGGTGAGCTGATTTCAAATAACCTAGAAAACAAAACAAAGCCATCTTCTAGATGTGAAAACCGTCTCTAACCCCTGAGGTGGCCACAGAGAGAGAGATGACTCTGTTGGACATCACTGTTGGATCCATCCACACCACAACAACAACAACAGGTTTGATGGTAGACGATCTAACATAAAAATAGAGAAAGAAAATCACACGCTCCAACTATGCTCCCAAACATTAATATTATATTAAATAGCAAACCAATGGTTTGGCACACAATGTCTTCTATGTTTGTATAGTTTACTCTCCGTTAGTCAACACCTCTACAAAACATTTTTGGGTGTGCGCCAGCTTCTTTCTTTCACTAGACTATCTAACGTACAGTAACACGGTTTCTAATAGGTCTTCTGCTCTGTCTGCGACTGTGGCTGCTGTTTTGAACCCTACTGTTCCTTGCATTACTGTGTTGCTTTCCATCTCTCTTCCTTTACAGTTCTCTCACCACCTTTTCCTTCTCTCACACTAACAACCTGTCTAAAGCTCATTGGCGAAGACAGCTCTTTTAACGCGTGTGAGTGGGTATGTGTTCTCATGATTGCGTGACGTCTGCTTGTGTTTCAAATGAACTGAATCTTCCGGAGGGGGTCATTGACGTGGTTGCATGCTTTAGCGGTCCGAGTCGATGTGGTGAAACTGAAATCAAACATTGTGTGGTCAACATTATGCTGTTTTCACTGTGCAATCTGGTCAACCTCTCGTACGCTTACATGGTGCATGCAGAATGGTAGCGCTATCCTTTGATGTCATGTACTGTCATTCCGTGGGTTATACTTGTCATTCCGTGGGTAATACCTGTCATTCCGTGGGTTATACATGTCATCCGTGGGTATACCTGTCATTCCGTGGGTTTATACCTGTCATTCCGTGGGTTATACCTGTCATTCCGTGGGTTGTACCTGTCATTCCGTGGGTTTATACCTGTCATTTCCGTGGGTTATACCTGTCATTCCGTGGGTTATACCTGTCATTCCGTGGGTTATACCTGTCATTCCGTGGGTTATACCTGTCATTCCGTGGGTTATACCTGTCATTCCGTGGGTTTACACTGTCATTCCGTGGGTTTATACCTGTCATTCCGTGGGTTATACCTGTCATTCCGTGGGTTATACCTGTCATTCCGTGGGTTATACCTGTCATTCCGTGGGTTATACCTGTCATTCCGTGGGTTATACCTGTCATTCCGTGGGTTATACCTGTCATTCCGTGGGTTATACCTGTCATTCCGTGGGTTATACCTGTCATTCCGTGGGTTATACCTGTCATTCGTGGGTAATACCTGTCATTCCGTGGGTTATACCTGTCATTCCGTGGGTAATACCTGTCATTCCGTGGGTAATACCTGTCATTCCGTGGGTTATACCTGTCATTCCGTGGTTATACCTGTCATTCCGTGGGTTATACCTGTCATTCCGTGGGTTATACCTGTCATTCCGTGGGTTATACCTGTCATTCCGTGGGTTATACCTGTCATTCCGTGGGTTATACCTGTCATTCCGTGGGTTATACCTGTCATTCCGTGGGTTATACCTGTCATTCCGTGGGTTATACCTGTCATTCCGTGGGTTATACCTGTCATTCCGTGGGTTAGGCTATATAACAACAGGTCCAAGTTTTTTTTATTGTTTTTATTTTTTATTTTAACCTTTATTTAACCTTTATTTAACGAGGCAAGTCAGTTAAGAACACATTCTTATTTACAATGACGGCCTACACCGGCCAAACCCGGACGACGCTGGGCCAATCATGCGTTTTTCTCACTGTTCAAATAAACCTACCATTAAAATTATAGACTGATCATGTCTTTGTCAGTGGGCAAACGTACAAAATCAGCAGAGGATCAAATACTTTTTTCCCTCACTGTGTACTGTGGTCATTATTTGCTTTCCTGTTTTAGTCACACTTACCTTTGTTCATACTTCTTTTCCTCTGTCTTGGGTTATGCCTTTTTTAAATTATTAAAATAATCATCATTAAAAGACGTTGAATATAGGAAGCTATTTTGTCTCCCTCTCTCTCTAACATCTACTTCCTCCTCTCCTGAAGGACCTCCCTCGTTCCCCGGTGGCTCCACCCCTGGAGTCGTGTTTCCTGCGTCCGGCGAGGCCAGCCAACCGCCGTCCCCCTTCCCGCTGGGCGGCCCATTCCCCCTCCTCCTCCCCCCGAGGCTGGCGCGATGTCACCGAGCGGAGGTTCACCTTCCCCATGGTGACTGGGACCACCTGTACACCGGAGCTGGACGAGACTGGAACAGGAACAGGACTGGAACCGTCGTCTTCCGCATGATAGAATCGTCGCCCATTACCTTGTCCTCCCTCCCCCCCTCGTAGGAAGGAGTTGTAATGTAATGGGGGGCTGAGACCCTCTAGCACCAGCTGACCAACCAGGAAGAAAAATAACTGGAACTTAGAACTTTGAATTCTGGAATGAAAAGAACCTGGAATGTACTGTAACAACAATGACTTCATCAAAAACATTGCCATCAGAGGTGCCTGTACTTGATTTACTCATAGTTCCACATGATATATGTGTATATATGTATACAAAACAATACATATATCTATATTTTAACCATATAATGGACACCTTTTGAGGTGTTGAAAGAAAACTATAAAACCGTTATTATAATACTTGTACGAACATGAAGGTTTACAAATGTTCTGTCTGTTTTACGTTTTTGATTATTTTGCATTACATATAATTTGTTATATTCTGTGTTGTGTAAATACTTAAAACTATTTTCTTATTAAGTTGACCATACCTTATGTTACTGTTTGTTCCTTCGAAGCTTGAAGACAGACTACTCAGTTGTAGTGGTAGAAGAAACAAACAAACAAACACGACTGCTTCCTGTTCGCTGAGGCAGCTGTTTCATGATGTCATTTACGATGCTAATGTATGTATGTTTTTTTCTCTATATGTTAAAATGAATGTTCAACTCTCTAAACGCATAGAAGAAGAGAGGAAAAATAGTAAGTGAATAACCTTTCGGTATATGTGGAACACAGTTGTTGAATGGCAGCCTATTCCCACCTATTCCCACACTCTAAAAACATGTTGGGTTGTTTTGGTTGATTTGTTTTCTTTAAAAAGAGCAAGATTGGGTTGTTGATGCTGGGTTATTGGTGCTGGGTCGTTGAGATATGACCCAGCGGGTCAGATCCGAAGACTGGAGGCGTAGTTTAGTACGGGTGTGGCATTCCAATAGTTCTTTTTAGCCACCCGTGAGAGTAAATGTCATTAATCTGTTCTGTTGTATAGTTATCACATGTAAAGGTTGAACACTGACATTTTTGTAGCTTCAGTGAGGCTTACAGAAGTATATGAGTTCCCTAAAAGCCTATGCAAATCCACTTGTTGGAATAGATACCTTCTTGTTATCATATGTAATAAATAATCTTAATATTCTAGAAGAATGTGTAAAATATTTAAAAAAGTAACCATTTAATTTGCAGTATGCAAACTTAAAGACAGGCTCCGGGCTGGATGTGTCAATGTGTAGTTCATACATGCATATTCTATGAGCAGACTTACTGTCTTACCTCAATTAGCCACGAAATCCCTAATTTGAAAGTGAGTGTTTTTTTTTGGAAGCTCTGCTGTGCCATTTTCCCTACATTTTCCCCCACGTGGGCCAGACCCCTAGAAATTTGAGTTCTAACCAATGAGCTTCAGACCCTCGCCATTTTGAGTGACAGCTAGCAAGATGCACACACAGCAAAGCGAGAGAGAGACAATGTCGTGGTGCACATATGTGAGGTAGTACGCAATTTTCGGGGACCACTTTTGGCTCGTGAGTGCTACTTTCAGAACTACTGGCTAAAATGTATACAAAAGTACCGGATAATCTCTTTAACATGATACACCGGAATGACATTTACTATCAAGAGTGGCCAATAAGATCTACCTGAAAGCCAAGCCACTAATGAGCCACACTTCCTGAATATAAGCAGCTAGGTCATCCCAGCATACCCAAAAAAACAACATGTTGGGTTATTATAATATAACATAATATATATTATATATATTAATGCAACCCAACTGGCTGGGTCAATATAACCCAGTGTGTGTTCTGCCCCAATATTAACCCAGCACTGGGTTACCAAAGAGGCCAAAATGTAGTTGTTTTTTTAACCCAGCATTTTTTTTTTAGAGTGGGCTCAGGTCAAAGGTCATGCACTGTGTAGAAATAGGTTGTCTTTTGGGACGCGATCATATTTGCATGCCTTTGGGAAAACACACGTTAGTGCATGTACATACAAACTGCTGCTACTGCTGTCATTGTGCTAGATCACCCAGCTTGGATGTAAAAACTCAACTAAAGGCCGGGATTTAATTATTTACCTTTATTTAAATCAGGGAGTCACCATTGAGACCAGTGTATCTTTTACGAGGGAGCCCTGGATATACAATTTTTTTAAAAAATACATCAAAATCAAATCAAATACAATATAAAACACAACACATATTGCATAGAAAAACATAAATGTACACAATATACGATAAATCGTTGTCAATCCAAATACCAAGGTATTCGTATGCAGGGACTCGTTCGATTATAGAACCATCCAATGAGTGAAGATGCAATCCGATCGCACTTTGTCCGCAAAAAGCTGCAAATGTCGGCTTTAGTCGTAAATAACCTGTAAATGGCGAATTGTCTAAACCCACAATCGTTTTTGAATCTCTGCATTAAACATTAAAGTTATTCACTGTGTATTTATTCCTCATTTTATTTTCATTTTATATGATGTATCTTTCATTCTCTCTGTATTGTTTGGGAAGGGCCCATGAGGAAGCATTTCACTGTTAGTCTACACCTGTTGTTTACAAAGCATGTGACAAAATAAAATTTGATTTGATTTGATTATGAGGGTGGTGATATCTTCAACTGTCAGTTTGTTGTCAGTTAACTCCAATTGACTAAAACCTTTAGTCAATTGGAATTACATAGTAGTACAATCATTTACATACACTTTTAGTCTAAAAGTAAGATATTTTTATGTAAATGATTGTACTACTATATACAGTATGTATGCTGTTTTGTACAGTTGTTAATATGATATAAATAGAGAGAGAAACAGTCGTTACTATGATAGTTAATAACACCCAGTGTGTTGATAGGAGACGAGGGGTCCAATCCACTGAATAGTTAATAACACCCAGTGTGTTGATAGGAGACGACGAGGGCTAATTCCCTTTTCAGTGTATTTCTCATAATTTAATTAGATCTTAAATTCAGGATGCCTCGTGAACATTTACTATAGTAACCTTAGTTTCAACAATAAAGGATGCCTCTATAATGTGTCCATGTTTAGGGACACCTACATTTCCTTTCCTGGCCTGTTATCATTTATAAGTGATGTCAAGTAAAGCCACCGTCTTCTGTCTCTCTCCTCCCCTCTCTGGAGCCTCATTCATTATTAACACTAATAACTCCAGGAGAGGTTAATAACTCCAGGATAGGTTAATAACTCCAGGATAGGTTAATAACTCCAGGATAGGTTAATAACTCCAGGATAGGTTAATAACTCCAGGATAGGTAACCCCTGCATCTCTCCCTCGTTTCCTTCTCCTCTCCTCTCTTCCTTCTCCTTCTCTTCCTTCTCCTTCTCTTCGTTTCCTTCTCTCTTTCTCTACAGTATGTCTTTCTCTTCTCTCCTCCTCCACTTATCTCCATCTCTACAGGAATCTCTCTCTTTTTATCTCACCCTCTTACTTGGCCTCTATTTTCCCCTCTCTCCCCACATCAATCTACACACAATTCCCCATAATGACAAAGCAAAAACAGGACAACGACCCCAAGCACACAGCCAAGACAACGCAGGAGTGGCTTCGGGACAAGTCTCTGAATGTCCTTGAGTCGCCCAGCCAGAGCCCGGACTTGAATCTGATAGAACATCTCTGGAGAGACCTGAAAATAGCTGTGCAGCGACGCTCCCCATCCAACCTGACAGAGCTTGAGAGGATCTGCAGAGAAGCACGGGAGAAACTCCCCAAATACAGGTGTGCCAAGCTTGTAGCGTCATACCCAAGAAGACTCAAGGCTGTAATTTCTGCCCAAGGTGCTTCAACAAAGTACTGAGTAAAGGGTCTGAATACTTATGGAAATGTGATATTTCAGGGTGTTTCTTTTTATACATTTCTAAAAACCTGTTTTTGCTTTGTCATTATGGGGTACTGTGTGTATATTGATCAGGGGAAAAAACAATTTAATCAATTTTAGAATAAGGCTGTAACCTAACAAAATGTGGAAAAAGTCAAGGGGTCTGAATACTTTCCAAAGGCACTTACAGTACCAGTCAAAAGTTTGGACACACCTACTCATTCAAGGGTTTTTCTATATTTTTACTATTTTCTACATTGAAGACATCAAAACTATGAAATAACACATGTGGAATCATGTAGTAACCATGAAAGTGTTTAACAAATCAAAATATATTTAATATTTGTGATTCTTCAAAGTAGCCACCCGTTGCCTTGATGACAACTTTGCACACTCCTGGTATTCTCTCAACCAGCTTCATGAGGTAGTCACCTGGAATGCATTTCAATTAACAGGTGTGCCTTTTTAAAAGTTCATTTGTGAAATCTCTTTCCTTCTTAATGCGTTTGAGCCAATCAGTTGTGTTGTGAAAAGGTGGGGGGGTATACAGAAGATAGCCCTATTTGGTAAAAGACCAAGTCCATATTATGGCAAGAACAGCTCAAAATAAGCAAAGAGAAACGACAGTCCATCATTACTTTAAGACATGAAGGTCAGTCAATCTGGAAAAACTTTGAACGTTTCTTCAAGTGCAGTCACAAAAACCATCAAGCGCTATGATGAAACTGGCTCTCATGAGGACCGCCACAGGAAAGGAAGACCCAGAGTTACCTCTGCTGCAGAGGATAAGTTAATTAGAGTTACCAGCCTCAGATTGCAGCCCAAATAAAAACTACTAAAGGACACCAATAAGAAGAAGAGACCTGCTTGGGCCAAGAAACACAAGCAATGGACATTAGACCGGTGGAAATCTGTCCTTTGGTCTGGAGTCCAAATTTGAGATTTTTGGTTCCAAACACTGTGTCTTTGTGAGACGCAGAGTAGGTGAACGGATGATCTCAGCATGTGTGGTTCCCACCATGAATCATGGTGGAGGTGGTGTGATGGTGTGGGGGTGCTTTGCTGGTGACACTGTCTGTGATTTATTTAGAATTCAAGGCACACTTAACCAGCATGGCTGCCACAGCATTCTGCAGCGATACGCCATCCCATCTGGTTTGCACTTAGTGGGACTATCATTTGTTTTTCAACAGGACAATGACCCAAAACACACCTCCAGGCTGTGTAAGGGCTATTTGACCAAGAAGGAGAGTGATGGAGTGCTGCATCAGATGACCTGGCCTCCACAATCACCCAACCTCAACCCAATTGAGATGGTTTGGGATGAGTTGGACCGCAGAGTGAAGGAAAAGCAGCCAACAAGTGCTCAGCATATGTGGGAACTCCTTCGAGACTGTTGGAAAAGCATTCCAGGTGAAGCTGGTTGAGAGAATGCCAAGAGTGTGCAAAGCTGTCATCAAGGCAAAGGGTGGCTACTTTGAAGAATCTCACATATAAAATATATATTTTGATTTGTTTAACACTTTTTTGGTTACTACATGATTCCATATGTGTTATTTCACAGTTTTGATGTCTTCACTATTAATCTACAATGTAGAAAATAGTAAAAAATAAAGAAAAACCCTTGAATGAGTAGGTGTGTCCAAACGTTTGACTGGTACTATACATGTTGTGAATTATTAGATATTACTGCACTGCTGGAGCTAGGAACACAAGCATCAATATCATCTGCTAAACATATGCGACCAATAAAAATGTATTTCATTTGACCAACAAATTGTCAGCTGCCCCATACAGGTTGCAAACTAGTTGGGAAGAGATATTCGATGTGCCGAATCCTTGGCACATGGTTTATGAACTGACACACAAAAAACAACGGCAGATTCAAAACTTGATGATGATGCAGATAATTACATTGATAGAACTCACAATCTATCTGCAATATTAAAACTGATTTTCTATTCAGGCATTTACCACAGCCTGGGAATTGCATTGTCCTTGGTGTGCTTATCCATGTACATGCACACACGAACAAATATAATCCAATCTCATTTGTAATTGAATAAGTGGAGTGGAAAATTGGATTTCATGACTTCTGAATCTCTAATGTCTTCTAACGTCTGTCGGCTGCTGACAGGGCTGTCCTTGGTCTGACAGAGTGACGTCAGCTCTACTATGGTCTATAGGCACTTCAAACTAATGATGATTATCTTCAAGGATATTTTGCATGATAGCATGTTTCCAGCTGAAAAGGCACTTGAGATAAGGTACCTCACTCCTTCTGTAATCGCTGCTGGACTGATCAGATATCTTACGGCATGTGTGTGTCTATCCTTCAATCAGAAACATCTTAAGGCATGTGTTTGTCCCTCAATCAGAAACAGCAACAGGGAAAGAACAGGTCCTGCATGGCTAAGTTGGTAGCGCTTTGCAGCGCCAACGTTTGTAGGATCAAGAAAGGCAAAAAAAAAAAAACTCAAAGAAAGGCATTTCACAGTACAACGTGTACGTGACAATAAAACATGAAACATTTCCCGCTTGGGACTTATGACTATAAGTCGCTTTGGATAAAGGCGACGGCCAAACATCTTATTATTATTATTAAACCTTGAAAGTAGGGTAGAGGCTTTCACAGTAAGGGCTCTATTCAATCTGCAGCGCTGAAATTGAAAGATAATTTTCCTATTGAGCCGACATCTGCAGCGTTCACAGTAAACGCCGTATATACGCTTAACGTGGGAATACTGCCTTTAAAAATTCAAATCACGCTGTAATGCTGCATTTTCCGCGATACTGATTGAATAGAGCCCTGAAGCACAGCTCTGACTAGACTAGACTAGCCGATGATATCATCAGAGCACCATAAGAGGGTTGTCTAACAAGCCTTCCCCGTTAGAAGAAAAAGCTTTTGAAAGGATTTTCATATGAATTTGAAAAGAACAATCATTAAACATGAAACACTTTTATTCTCATGTCAACAAAAACATTAAAATCTCAAGTTGGAAATATACATTGACGTCCAAACAAATACAAGCCCCTGGTGTGCAAAGCTGACTGGTCTCCCTGGGATAGTTTTTCATAGCTATAAAAAAGTGTGAAACAGCTAGCTAGCTTTCATTCATCATTTAGACATTACCGATCATTACTAATCTATCAAGTCTGAGGAGCACATCGTGAAAAGCAAGATGGAAGCTACAAGCTGATTCATCATGTTGATCCATCCTGAGCTGATCAATAATTTAGAACACTGAGAGAATGTTCCAGAGGTTAGGTTACTGAGCAGGCAACAAGGGTAAGATTCTGATTCTGGGTCCAGTTCACCTCAATATGGGCCCACCCATTATTAAATGCAAAATGACATCTGTTTGACCCCCGTTCGGGAAAGAAAAGGAAATGAAACTGAATGCAATGTTTGGGCTGGGGACTTTCATTGGACTGTTGCTTCTGTATTATCGTTTGTCTACATAGAATAACTCAAAGTCAATCGTTTTCCCATAAGATCTGATCTAGGATCTGTCCTCCCATCCCCAAACAGTGCACATGAAAAGCCCTGAGACTGATTCAGGACCAGTGCCGTATTCATCCGCACCGTGACTTGAGGGAGAGCCTCTCTGGGTGTGTCTCAATCGTCTAACCTGGCTTCCACTCCTTGTCTCCTCTCCTTCATCTGCACTGGTATATAAGCTGAATAGGTAAGAGAAAGAAAATATCCCATCCGCCACATTGCCTACTGAATATTCTATATCCTATATTCACCTATCCTGTGTTTTCAGAACAATGAAGATGAAGGAGAGGAGACAAGGAGAGGAGAGAAGGAGAGGACACGAGGAGAGGACGCCACACAGAGTGTTGACATGCAGCCCCTCAAGCAGCTGTCTCACACCGCTGGCTGAACAGGACTTCCACGACCTTAGGGTCAGCCAGAGTTGAAAGGTCACCTAGATCCTTCTCGTTCCGGGCAATCTGCCTCAGGACCCGCCTCATGATCTTACCTGAGGATGACGTTGTTGGTCAAATGAAACATAAATAAAAAAAGGTCAATTATAAAATGTCTGTAAAAGTCAATCATCGTGTGAAGTAAACAGTGTACCTACCAGAGCGTGTTTTAGGAAGTCCAGGAGCGTTCTGGATGAAGTCTGGGGTGGCGATCGGACCAATCTTCTCTCTCACTGCAAGACATAAGAAAAACGTTTTAATGTGAAATATAATACCATCAGGGAAAACCCCTCTGGTGGTACAGCGACTGTAACTGATAGTCATAGTATGGTAATAGACATAATCTCAAAGCCAGATGCCGTAACCTTGCATTCCTTCTACAAGGACAAACCTGGAATTCAAGGCAATAACGGACATAGAGATTCGGCTTCAATTTCAATCAATTTGATTCTTGTTTTTTTGTCTAGTTTTTCCTCCGTCTGAAAGCCCTACCTTGTCTCTTGAGTTCCTCCACCAGAGCGCGGTCGAACTCTCTGCAGTCCTTCAGAGTAACGAAACAGTAGAGACACTCCCCCTTGACCGCGTGGGGTCTGCTGACCACTGCTGCCTCGGCCACCGCTCCATGCTCTGTTAGAGATGCCTCCACCTCCGCTGTACTCAACAGGTGACCTGGAGGAGGACGACAAACATGGGTTTTATTACTGACTGTACAGAGTTTTCACTAATAATAGAGAACAGCTTGGGTTAACACTAATACTAAACAGCCCAGAACAGAGTTCGCTGGAGACGCAGGTTCTCTGCTCCACTAGTTAAAATCAATAGGTTAAGTGAGCCACAATCACTCATTCAATTAATTAATAGATCAAATGTATTCATAAAGCACTTTTCACAAGCGACGTGTGTCAAAAAGCGCTTTACAATAATCCAACCTACACCACCAAAAAACACAGCAGCAGCAGCACTGTGGCAAAACTGTGGAAAAGAATTGACCTGATACGTTGATCATGTCGTCTATCCTGCCTGTGATCCAGTAGTACCCATCTCCATCTCTCCTGCAGCCTGGGAAACAACGAGTGAGTGAATTAATGAATGACTATGAAATAATACATAAGAGGCCATGTGTTATGACATTTTTATCATGGCTGGGACGTGGTCACAGAGGATAGGATCTAACAGTGGTCAAGCAGAGAAGCCGAATAGGCTGTAACAGGATCACATCTAACAGGACAGGATCTAACAGGATCGTCTTTAACAGGACAGGATCTAACAGGATAGTATCTAACAGGATAGGATCTAACAGGATAGAATCTAACAGGATAGGATCTAACAGGATAGAATCTAACAGGATAGAATCTAACAGGATAGAATCAGACAGGATAGAATCTAACAGGATAGGATCTAACAGGATATAATCTAACAGGATAGAATCTAACAGGATAGAATCTGATAGGATCTGATCGGATCTAACAGGATAGGATCTAACAGGATAGAATCTAACAGGATAGGATCTAACAGGATAGGATCTAACAGGATAGGATCTGATAGGATCTAACAGGATAGAATCTAACAGGATAGGATCTGATAGGATAGAATCTAACAGGATAGAATCTAACAGGATAGAATCTAACAGGATAGAATCTAACAGGATAGGATCTGATAGGATCTAACAGGATAGAATCTAACAGGATAGGATCTGATAGGATCTAACAGGATATAATCTAACAGGATAGAATCTAACAGGATAGAATCTAACAGGATATAATCTAACAGGATAGAATCTAACAGGACAGTATCTAACAGGATAGGATCTAACAGGATAGAATCTAACAGGATAGAATCTAACAGGATAGAATCTAACAGGATAGAATCTAACAGGATATAATCTAACAGGACAGTAACTAACAGGATAGAATCTAACAGGATAGAATCTAACAGGATAGAATCTAACAGGATATAATCTAACAGGACAGTATCTAACAGGATAGGATCTAACAGGATAGAATCTAACAGGATAGGATCTAACAGGATAGGATCTGATAGGATATAACAGGATAGAATCTAACAGGATAGAATCTAACAGGATAGAATCTAACAGGACAGTATCTAACAGGATAGAATCTAACAGGATAGAATCTAACAGGATAGGATCTGATAGGATCTAACAGGATAGAATCTAACAGGATAGGATCTGATAGGATCTAACAGGATATAATCTAACAGGATAGAATCTAACAGGATAGAATCTAACAGGATAGAATCTAACAGGATAGAATCTAACAGGATATAATCTAACAGGACAGTAACTAACAGGATAGAATCTAACAGGATAGAATCTAACAGGATAGAATCTAACAGGATAGAATCTAACAGGATATAATCTAACAGGACAGTAACTAACAGGATAGAATCTAACAGGATAGAATCTAACAGGATAGAATCTAACAGGATATAATCTAACAGGACAGTATCTAACAGGATAGGATCTAACAGGATAGAATCTAACAGGATAGGATCTAACAGGATAGGATCTGATAGGATATAACAGGATAGAATCTAACAGGATAGAATCTAACAGGATAGAATCTAACAGGACAGTATCTAACAGGATATAATCTAACAGGACAGTATCTAACAGGATAGAATCTAACAGGATAGAATCTAACAGGATAGGATCTAACAGGACAGTATCTAACAGGATAGGATCTAACAGGATAGAATCTAACAGGATAGGATCTAACAGGATAGGATCTGATAGGATCTAACAGGATATAATCTAACAGGATAGAATCTAACAGGATAGAATCTAACAGGATAGAATCTAACAGGATATAATCTAACAGGATATAATCTAACAGGATAGGATCTAACAGGATAGGATCTAACAGGATAGGATCTGATAGGATCTAACAGGATAGAATCTAACTGTCACGATCGTGTGAAGGATGAGACCAACGCGCAGCGCGTGTACCGATAAACATGATGACTTTATTAAATTAAAGTGCAACACGAGAAAACAACAAAATACGATACGTGAAGTTCCACTACTGATACAGACAGCAACAAGGAAACAAAAACCCACAAACCCCACAGGAAAACAAACAGAATAAATATGGCTCCCAATCAGAGATAACGAGCCGAACAGCTGGCACTCGTTACCTCCGATTGGGAGTCACATGCCCAATAAACAACCAAACCAAACATAGAAAATGAACAACCAGAATCCCACATAGAAATACACCCAAAAGAAAATGACAACCCTGGCTCACAAACAAAGAGTCCCGGAGCCAGAACGTCACAGTACCCCCCCCTAAAGGCGCGGACTGCGACCGCGCCTCACAACCCCACAATAGGGGAGGGCTGGGTGGGTGTTGCTCCCCGGAGGCGGTTCTGGCTCCGGGCTTGACCACCACCCCACTATAGTTCCTACCCGCTTTCTTAACCTCCTCCCAATGACCACCCTCCACTTAAACCCACCTGGATAAATGGGCAGCACCGGACTAAGAGGCAGCACACGGCTAAGGGACAGCACCGGACTAAGGGGCAGCACAGGACTACGTGGCGGATCCTGGCTGGCTGGCTCTGACGGATCTGGCTGCTCATGGCTGGCTGACGGATCTGGCGGCTCATGGCTGGCTGACGGATCTGGCGGCTCATGGCTGGCTGACAGATCTGGCCACTCATGGCTGGCGGAAGGCTCTGGCTGATCCCGTCTGGCGGAAGGCTCTGGCTGCTCCTGTCTGGCGGAAGGCTCTGGCTGATCCGGTCTGACGGAAGGCTCTGGCTGCTCCTGTCTGGCGGAAGGCTCTGGCTGATCCTGTCTGGCGGAAGGCTCTGGCTGATCCTGTCTGGCGGAAGGCTCTGGCTGATCCTGTCTGGCGGAAGGCTCTGGCTGATCCTGTCTGGCGAAGAGCTCTAGCGGCTCCGGTCTGGCGGACGGCTCTGAAGGCTCATGGCAGACGGGCGGCTTAGCAGGCTCAGTACAGACGGGCAGTTCAGACGGCGTTGGGCAGACGGACAGTTCAGACGGCGTTGGGCAGACGGGCAGTTCAGACGGCGTTGGGCAGACGGGCAGTTCAGACGGCGTTGGGCAGACGGGCAGTTCAGGCGCCGTTGTGCAGACGGGCAGTTCAAGCGCCGTTGGGCAGACGGGCAGTTCAAGCGCCGTTGGGCAGACGGGCAGTTCAGGCGCCGTTGGGCAGACGGCAGACTCTGGCCGTCTGAGGCGCACCGTAGACCTGATGCGTGGTGCCGGAACTGGAGGTACCGGGCTGAGGACACGCATCTCAGGGCTAGTGCGGGGAGAAGCAACAGGGCATGCAGGACCCTGGGGACGCACATAAGTCCTAGTGCGTGGTGCCGGAACTGGTGGTCCCGGGCTGAGGACACGCATCTCAGGGCTAGTGAAGCGCACCGTATCCCTGGTGCGTGGAGTAGGAACAGGCCGGGCTGGGCTGGCGAAGCGCACCGTATCCCTGGTGCGTGGAGTAGGAACAGGCCGGGCTGAGCTGGCGAAGCGCACCGTATCCCTGGTGCGTGGAGTAGGAACAGGCCGGTCCATACCGGGAACACACACCACTGGCCTCAACCGAGGATCAGGAACGGGCCGGACCGGACTGGCAACACACCTCAGTCCTTCACGCCGTGCCACACACACATCCCTGCCTCTTCTCGCCAATGGCTCCCGTACTCCGTTAGCCCTCTCACCTATACTCCCTGTGGCAGCTTCCTGCTGCCCAGCCGCCCAAGCCATGTGCCCCCCCCCAAAAATTTCTTGGGGTTGCCTCTCGTCCTTCCGACGAAAAACCTGCTGCCGCCGATGCTCCTCTCTTGCCAGGGCCTTGATCTTCCCCCAAGGTCCCTTGCCCCCGAGCATGTCCTCCCAGGACCACGATTTGCCCACCTGGGCCATCGCCAGCCTCTCGATCTCCTTACCCGGCGCCTCCACCCATGTCCAGTCTCTTTGCTCCTGTACACGCTGCTTGGTCTTGGTATGGTGGGTTTTTCTGTCACGATCGTGTGAAGGATGAGACCAACGCGCAGCGCGTGTACCGATAAACATGATGACTTTATTAAATTAAAGTGCAACACGAGAAAACAACAAAATACGATACGTGAAGTTCCACTACTGATACAGACAGCAACAAGGAAACAAAAACCCACAAACCCCACAGGAAAACAAACAGAATAAATATGGCTCCCAATCAGAGATAACGAGCCGAACAGCTGGCACTCGTTACCTCCGATTGGGAGTCACATGCCCAATAAACAACCAAACCAAACATAGAAAATGAACAACCAGAATCCCACATAGAAATACACCCAAAAGAAAATGACAACCCTGGCTCACAAACAAAGAGTCCCGGAGCCAGAACGTCACACTAACAGGATATAATCTGATAGGATCTAACAGGATAGGATCTGATAGGATCTAACAGGATATAATCTAACAAGATATAATCTAACAGGATAGAATCTAACAGGATAGAATCTAACAGGATAGAATCTAACAGGATAGAATCTAACAGGATAGGATCTGATAGGATCTAACAGGATAGAATCTAACAGGATAGGATCTGATAGGATCTAACAGGATAGAATCTAACAGGATAGAATCTAACAGGATAGAATCTAACAGGATAGGATCTGATAGGATCTAACAGGATAGAATCTAACAGGATAGAATCAGACAGGATATAATCTAACAGGATAGGATCTGATAGGATCTAACAGGATAGAATCTAACAGGATAGAATCTAACAGGATAGGATCTGATAGGATCTAACAGGATAGAATCTAACAGGATAGAATCTGATAGGATCTAACAGGATAGGATCTGATAGGATCTAACAGGATAGAATCTAACAGGACAGTATCTAACAGGATAGAATCTAACAGGATAGGATCTAACAGGATAGGATCTGATAGGATCTAACAGGATAGGATCTGATAGGATCTAACAGGATAGGATCTGATAGGATCTAACAGGATAGAATCTAACAGGATAGGATCTGATAGGATCTAACAGGATAGGATCTGATAGGACCTAACAGGATAGGATCTAACAGGATAGAATCTAACAGGATAGAATCTAACAGGATAGGATCTGATAGGATCTAACAGGATAGAATCTAACAGGATATAATCTAACAGGATAGGATCTGATAGGATCTAACAGGATATAATCTAACAGGATAGAATCTGATAGGATCTAACAGGATAGGATCTGATAGGATCTAACAGGATAGAATCTAACAGGACAGTATCTAACATGATAGAATCTAACAGGATAGAATCTAACAGGATAGGATCTAACAGGATAGGATCTGATAGGATCTAACAGGATAGGATCTGATAGGATCTAACAGGATAGGATCTGATAGGATCTAACAGGATAGAATCTAACAGGATAGGATCTGATAGGATCTAACAGGATAGGATCTGATAGGACCTAACAGGATAGGATCTAACAGGATAGAATCTAACAGGATAGAATCTAACAGGATAGAATCTAACAGGATAGGATCTGATAGAATCTAACAGGATAGAATCTGATAGGATCTAACAGGATAGGATCTAACAGGATCTAACAGGATAGAATCTAACAGGATAGAATCTAACAGGACAGTATCTAACAGGACAGTATCTAACAGGATAGAATCTAACAGGATAGGATCTAACAGGATAGGATCTGATAGGATCTAACAGGATAGAATCTAACAGGATATAATCTGATAGGATCTAACAGGATAGGATCTGATAGGATCTAACAGGATATAATCTAACAGGACAGTATCTAACAGGATAGAATCTAACAGGATAGAATCTAACAGGATAGAATCTAACAGGATAGGATCTGATAGGATCTAACAGGATATAATCTAACAGGATAGAATCTAACAGGATAGGATCTGATAGGATCTAACAGGATAGAATCTAACAGGATAGGATCTGATAGGATCTAACAGGATAGGATCTGATAGGATCTAACAGGATAGAATCTAACAGGATAGGATCTGATAGGATCTAACAGGATATAATCTAACAGGATAGGATCTGATAGGATCTAACAGGATATAATCTAACAGGATAGAATCTGATAGGATCTAACAGGATATGATCTGATAGGATCTAACAGGATAGAATCTAACAGGACAGTATCTAACAGGATATAATCTAACAGGATATAATCTAACAGGATATGATCTAACAGGATAGGATCTGATAGGATCTAACAGGATAGGATCTGATAGAATCTAACAGGATAGAATCTAACAGGATAGGATCTGATAGGATCTAACAGGATAGGATCTGATAGGACCTAACAGGATAGGATCTAACAGGATAGAATCTAACAGGATAGAATCTAACAGGATAGGATCTGATATAATCTAACAGGATAGGATCTGATAGGATCTAACAGGATAGGATCTAACAGGATCTAACAGGATAGAATCTAAGAGGATATAATCTAACAGGACAGTATCTAACAGGACAGTATCTAACAGGATAGAATCTAACAGGATAGGATCTAACAGGATAGGATCTGATAGGATCTAACAGGATATAATCTAACAGGACAGTATCTAACAGGATAGAATCTAACAGGATAGAATCTAACAGGATAGAATCTAACAGGATAGGATCTGATAGGATCTAACAGGATAGAATCTAACAGGATAGAATCTAACAGGATAGGATCTGATAGGATCTAACAGGATCTAACAGGATATAATCTAACAGGATAGAATCTGATAGGATCTAACAGGATAGGATCTGATAGGATCTAACAGGATAGAATCTAACAGGATATAATCTGATAGGATCTAACAGGATAGGATCTGATAGGATCTAACAGGATATAATCTAACAGGACAGTATCTAACAGGATAGAATCTAACAGGATAGAATCTAACAGGATAGAATCTAACAGGATAGGATCTGATAGGATCTAACAGGATAGAATCTAACAGGATAGAATCTAACAGGATAGGATCTGATAGGATCTAACAGGATATAATCTAACAGGATATGATCTGATAGGATCTAACAGGATAGGATCTGATAGGATCTAACAGGATAGAATCTAACAGGATAGGATCTGATAGGATCTAACAGGATATAATCTAACAGGATAGAATCTGATAGGATCTAACAGGATATGATCTGATAGGATCTAACAGGATAGAATCTAACAGGCCAGTATCTAACAGGATATAATCTAACAGGATATAATCTAACAGGATATGATCTAACAGGATAGGATCTGATAGGATCTAACAGGATAGGATCTGATAGGATCTAACAGGATAGAATCTAACAGGATAGGATCTGATAGGATCTAACAGGATAGGATCTGATAGGACCTAACAGGATAGGATCTAACAGGATAGAATCTAACAGGATAGAATCTAACAGGATAGGATCTGATATAATCTAACAGGATAGGATCTGATAGGATCTAACAGGATAGGATCTAACAGGATCTAACAGGATAGAATCTAAGAGGATATAATCTAACAGGACAGTATCTAACAGGACAGTATCTAACAGGATATAATCTAACAGGATAGGATCTAACAGGATAGGATCTGATAGGATCTAACAGGATAGAATCTAACAGGATAGAATCTAACAGGATAGAATCTGATAGGATCTAACAGGATAGGATCTGATAGGATCTAACAGGATAGAATCTAACAGGACAGTATCTAACAGGATAGAATCTAACAGGATATAATCTAACAGGATAGGATCTAATAGGATAGGATCTAATAGGATAGGATCTGATAGGATCTAACAGGATAGAATCTAACAGGATAGGATCTGATAGGATCTAACAGGATAGAATCTAACAGGATAGAATCTAACAGGATAGAATCTAACAGGATAGGATCTGATAGAATCTAACAGGATAGGATCTGATAGGATCTAACAGGATAGGATCTAACAGGATAGGATCTAACAGGATAGGATCTGATAGGATCTAACAGGATAGAATCTAACAGGATAGAATCTGATAGGATCTAACAGGATAGGATCTGATAGGATCTAACAGGATATAATCTAACAGGATAGAATCTAACAGGATAGAATCTAACAGGATATAATCTAACAGGATAGGATCTGATAGGATCTAACAGGATAGAATCTAACAGGATAGAATCTAACAGGATAGGATCTGATAGGATCTAACAGGATAGAATCTAACCGGCTAGAATCTAACAGGATAGGATCTGATAGGATCTAACAGGATATAATCTAACAGGATAGAATCTAACAGGATAGGATCTGATAGGATCTAACAGGATAGAATCTAACAGGATAGGATCTGATAGGATCTAACAGGATAGGATCTGATAGGATCTAACAGGATAGAATCTAACAGGATAGAATCTAAAAGGATAGAATCTAACAGGATAGAATCTAACAGGATAGGATCTGATGGGATCTAACAGGATAGGGTCTAACAGGATCTAACAGGATAGGATCTAACAGGATAGGATCTGATAGGATCTAACAGGATAGGATCTGATAGGATCTAACAGGATAGGATCTGATAGGATCTAACAGGATAGGATCTAACAGGATCTAACAGGATAGGATCTAACAGGATCTAACAGGATAGGATCTAACAGGATAGGATCTGATAGGATCTAACAGGATAGGATCTGATAGGATCTAACAGCATAGGATCTAACAGGACAGGATCTAACAGGATAGGATCTAACAATGGGAATTCCAAACCACCCGTTGTATAATGAATGAATTAAGTCCCACGTTAGCAGCAAGGTCGCTATCACAATGTCATTGTGGTTGTCTATGAATATGATTGATCTAATGTAATCAAAAATTAATCTAATCAATCACAGAATGTTGTAAGAAAATAGTTGACTGTCTTACCATCGCCGGTCACGTAAAAACCTGGGAATTTCTTGAAGTATGTGTTCTCAAACCGCTCCTGGTTTCCGTACACAGTACGCATGATACCAGGCCAGGGCCGCTTGAACACCTGCAACCACATACGTCTAAATATTATGCAGCGAAAACAGCCAAATATAGCCACATAGCCACATTGTCTCTGCCTCCAGTTCCTCTCCAGTTATAGTGTTATTATACTGACCAGATAGCCCCCTGCCTCTCCCTCCAGTATAGTGTTATTATACTGACCAGAAAGCCCTCTGCCTCTCCCTCCAGTATAGTGTTATTATACTGACCAGATAGCCCTCTGCCTCTCCCTCCAGTATAGTGTTATTATACTGACCAGATAGCCCTCTGCCTCTCCCTCCAGTATAGTGTTATTATACTGACCAGATAGCCCTCTGCCTCTCCCTCCAGTATAGTGTTATTATACTGACCAGATAGCCCTCTGCCTCTCCCTCCAGTTATAGTGTTATTATACTGACCAGATAGCCCTCTGCCTCTCCCTCCAGTATAGTGTTATTATACTGACCAGATAGCCCCCTGCCTCTCCCTCCAGTTATAGTGTTATTATACTGACCAGATAGCCCTCTGCCTCTCCCTCCAGTATAGTGTTATTATACTGACCAGATAGCCCTCTGCCTCTCCCTCCAGTATAGTGTTATTATACTGACCAGATAGCCCCCTGCCTCTCCCTCCAGTATAGTGTTATTATACTGACCAGATAGCCCCCTGCCTCTCCCTCCAGTATAGTGTTATTATACTGACCAGATAGCCCTCTGCCTCTCCCTCCAGTATAGTGTTATTATACTGACCAGATAGCCCCCTGCCTCTCCCTCCAGTATAGTGTTATTATACTGACCAGATAGCCCTCTGCCTCTCCCTCCAGTTCCTCTCCATGCTCGTTGAGTATGGTGGGATCCACTCCGAAAAAAGGAAACGTCTGGAACATCAGACAGATCCAGAGATTAGATAGATAGTTAGGGGTGTTCATAATTACCACGGGGGAGATTTTCATTAGATCCTATACGCTTTTCAATAACAACACAGCCTGCTTGGGAAGAAATAACTCCTTATTACAGATCACAATCAACACATGAAATGAGTTGTAAGTCTACAGCAAAACTAGTACATGTCACTCCCTTACGTTCTAATGTCCCAAACTGATATCCTACAGGTCTATGACTGGTTAGTCACCTACAGGTCTATGACTGGTTAGTCACCTACAGGTCTATGACTGGTTAGTCACCTACAGGTCTATGACTGGTTAGTCACCTACAGGTCTATGACTGGTTAGTCACCTACAGGTCTATGACTGGTTAGTCACCTACAGGTCTATGACTGGTTAGTCACCTACAGGTCTATGACTGGTTAGTCACCTACAGGTTACTGGTTAGTCACCTACAGGTCTATGACTGGTTAGTCACCTACAGGTCTATGACTGGTTAGTCACCTACAGGTCTATGACTGGTTAGTCACCTACAGGTTACTGGTTAGTCACCTACTGGTCTATGACTGGTTAGTCACCTACAGGTTACTGGTTAGTCACCTACAGGTCTATAACTGGTTAGTCACCTACAGGTCTATGACTGGTTAGTCACCTACAGGTTACTGGTTAGTCACCTACAGGTCTATGACTGGTTAGTCACCTACAGGTCTATGACTGGTTAGTCACCTACAGGTTACTGGTTAGTCACCTACAGGTCTATGACTGGTTAGTCACCTACAGGTATATCACTGGTTAGTCACCTACAGGTATATCACTGGTTAGTCACCTACAGGTATATAGGTATATGTATATACAGCATACAATAGCTTCTGGACCACCAGGCAGCCATATATGCTAGTTAGTCCTGACTTGGTGTAGATAAATGGCACTAAACAGCGTTAAACAGTAAACCATTAAGGCCTTACAGCTGATCCAGGCTTCAGAGGAGTAGCAGCAGGAAGTGGGGTCAGAACATGGCCACCCTGGAAGACAACACACATCATTACTTCACTGTATTGCTTGGACTGCAATATGACAACACACGTCATAGTGTGTGTGGGGTCCTTGATAATGGGGTGTGGGGTCCTTGATAATGGGGTGTGGGGTCCTTGATAATGGGGTGTGGGGTCCTTGATAATGGGGTGTGGGGTCCTTGATAATGGGGTGTGGGGTCCATGATAATGGGGTGTGGGGTCCTTGATAATGGGGTGTGGGGTCCTTGATAATGGGGTGTGGGGTCCTTGATAATGGGGTGTGGGGTCCATGATAATGGGGTGTGGGGTCCTTGATAATGGTGTGTGGGGTCCTTGATAATGGGGTGTGGGGTCCTTGATAATGGGGTGTGGGGTCCTTGATAATGGTGTGTGGGGTCCTTGATAATGGGGTGTGGGGTCCATGATAATGGGGTGTGGGGTCCTTGATAATGGGGTGTGGGGTCCATGATAATGGGGTGTGGGGTCCTTGATAATGGGGTGTGGGGTCCTTGATAATGGGGTGTGGGGGTCCTTGATAATGGGGTGTGGGGTCCATGATAATGGGGTGTGGGGTCCTTGATAATGGGGTGTGGGGTCCTTGATAATGGGGTGTGGGGTCCTTGATAATGGGGTGTGGGGTCCTTGATAATGGGGTGTGGGGTCCATGATAATGGGGTGTGGGGTCCTTGATAATGGGGTGTGGGGTCCTTGATAATGGGGTGTGGGGTCCTTGATAATGGGGTGTGGGGTCCATGATAATGGGGTGTGGGGTCCATGATAATGGGGTGTGGGGTCCTTGATAATGGGGTGTGGGGTCCTTGATAATGGGGTGTGGGGTCCTTGATAATGGGGTGTGGGGTCCATGATAATGAAATGGAACATAACCAGTGTTTTGCAGGAAGAGGATGATGCTCAACACAGTGGAGACACACACACAGTCACAGACACACACACAGTCACAGACACACAAACAGTCACAGACACACAAACACACACAAACACACACAGTCACAGACACACAAACACACACAGTCACAGACACACAAACACACACAAACACAGAAACACACACAGTCACAGACACACACACACACACACACACACACACAGAAACACACACAGTCACAGACACACAAACACACACAAACACACACAGTCACAGACACACAAACACAGACACACACACAGTCACAGGCACACAAACAGTCACAGACACACAAACAGTCACAGACACACAAACAGTCACAGACACACAAACACACACACAGTCACAGAAACACACACAGTCACAGACACACAAACACACACAGTCACAGACACACAAACACACACAAACACAGAAACACACACAGTCACAGACACACAAACACACACACAGTCACAGACACACAAACACACACAGTCACAGACACACACACAGTCACAGACACACAAACAGTCACAGACACACAAACAAACACACAGTCACAGAAACACACACAGTCACAGACACACAAACACACACAGTCACAGACACACAAACACACACAAACACAGAAACACACAGTCACAGACACACAAACACACACAGTCACAGAAACACACACAGTCACAGACACACAAACACACACAGTCACAGACACACAAACACACACAGTCACAGACACACAAACACAGGAACACACACAGTCACAGACACACACACACACACACACACACACACACACACACACACACACACACACACACACACAAACACACACACACACACACACAGTCACAGACACAGAAACACACAGAAACACAGAAACACACACAGTCACAGACACACACACTCACGGTCTCAGTCTGCCAGAAGGTGTCCACCACGGGACATCTCTTCTGACCAACAACCTCGTAGTACCAATGCCACGCCTCCGGGTTGATAGGCTCGCCTACAGTTCCCAGGATCCTCAGCGACGACAGGTCGTATCTGCAGGAAGTGACAGGGTTAGTGAGTAAAGGGGGTGCGTTCGACATTGCAGACGACTTTAAAGGTGAGTCGACTGACTGATCTACAAATCCCCTTGCATCATAAATACCTACTCAATATTATCTTTATATCAGTCAGTCACAACTGGCCCATGATGCATCACGGTTTTGATGCTATCCGTCAGTGCCAAGAAGTGCTGGTCCTATACAGGTCAGGTTCACTGAGAGTGTTGTTTATTAATGCTGGTGCAGAGGGGGTAATTACACTGATCTATTACAGCTTTATACTGATCTATTACAGCTTTATACTGATCTATTACAGCTTTATACTGATCTATTACAGCTATATCCTGATCTATTACAGCTTTATACTGATCTATTACAGCTTTATACTGATCTATTACAGCTTTATACTGATCTATTACAGCTTTATACTGATCTATTACAGCTTTATACTGATCTATTACAGCTTTATAATGATCTATTACAGCTTTATACTGATCTATTACAGCTTTATACTGATCTATTACAGCTTTATACTGATCTATTACAGCTTTATACTGATCTATTACAGCTTCATACTGATCTATTACATCTTTATACTGATCTATTACATCTTTATACTGATCTATTACAGCTTTATACTGATCTATTACAGCTTTATACTGATCTATTACAGCTTTATACTGATCTATTACAGCTTTATACTGATCTATTACAGCTTTATACTGATCTATTACAGCTTTATACTGATCTATTACAGCTTTATACTGATCTATTACAGCTTTATACTGATCTATTACAGCTTTATACTGATCCATTACAGCTTTATACTGATCTATTACAGCTTTATACTGATCTATTACAGCTTTATACTGATCTATTACAGCTTTATACTGATCTATTACAGCTTTGATACTACTGATCCATTACAGCTTTATACTACGATATATTACAGCTTTATACTGATCTATTACAGCTTTATACTGATCTATTACAGCTTTATACTGATCCATTACAGCTTTATACTGATCTATTACAGCTTTATACTGATCTATTACAGCTTTATACTGATCTATTACAGCTTTATACTGATCTATTACAGCTTTATACTGATCTATTACAGCTTTATACTGATCTATTACAGCTTTATACTGATCTATTACAGCTTTATACTGATCTATTACAGCTTTATACTGATCTATTACAGCTTTATACTGATCTATTACAGCTTTATACTGATCTATTACAGCTTTATACTGATCTATTACAGCTTTATACTGATCTATTACAGCTTTATACTGATCTATTACAGCTTATACTGATCTATTACAGCTTTATAACTGATCTATTACAGCTTTATACTGATCTATTACAGCTTTATACTGATCTATTACAGCTTTATACTGATATATTACAGCTTTATACTGATCTATTACAGCTTTATACTGATATATTACAGCTTTATACTGATCTATTACAGCTATATCATGATCTATTACAGCTTTATACTGATCTATTACAGCTTTATACTGATCTATTACAGCTTTATACTGATCTATTACAGCTTTATACTGATCTATTACAGCAGCTTTATACTGATCTATTACAGCTTTATACTGATCTATTACAGCTTTATACTGATCTATTACAGCTTTATACTGATCTATTACAGCTTTTATACTGATCTATTACAGCTTTATACTGATCTATTACAGCTTTATACTGATCTATTACAGCTTTATACTGATCTATTACAGCTTTATACTGATCTATTACAGCTTTATACTGATCTATTACAGCTTTATACTGATCTATTACAGCTTTATACTGATCTATTACAGCTTATATGATCTTCTACAGCTTTATACTGATCTATTACAGCTTTATACTGATCTATTACAGCTTTATACTGATCTATTACAGCTTTATACTGATCTATTACAGCTTTATACTGATCTATTACAGCTTTATACTGATCTATTACAGCTTTATACTGATCTATTACAGCTTTATACTGATCTATTACAGCTTTATACTGATCTATTACAGCTTTATACTGATCTATTACAGCTTTATACTGATCTATTACAGCTTTATACTGATCTATTACAGCTTTATACTGATCTATTACAGCTTTACTGATCTATTACAGCTTTATACTGATCTATTACAGCTTTATACTGATCTATTACAGCTTTATACTGATCTATTACAGCTTTATACTGATCTATTACAGCTTTATACTGATCTATTACAGCTTTATACTGATCTATTACAGCTTTATACTGATCTATTACAGCTTTATACTGATCTATTACAGCTTTATACTGATCTATTACAGCTTACTGTATACATAACTGATCTATTACAGCTTTATACTGATCATACTTATCACCGCTTTATACTGATCTATTACAGCTTTATACTGATTCTTACAGCTTATATGTCTATACTGATCTATTACAGCTTATACTATCTATTACAGCTTATACTGATCTATTACAGCTTTATACTGATCTATTACAGCTTTATACTGATCTATTATAGCTTTATACTGATCTATTACAGCTTTATACTGATCTATTACAGCTTTATACTGATCTATTACAGCTTTATACTGATCTATTACAGCTTTATACTGATCTATTACAGCTTTATGGGTTAGGGTTATTGTTGCTTTATAGCTGCTTTACTACTGCTTTATTACTGCCTAATTACATTTTTATTACTGGTTTATTACTGCTTTATTAATGCTGTTTATTACATCTTAATTACAGCTTTACTACTGCTTTAGTAGAGCTTTATTACTGCTTTGTAACAGCCACTTTATTATTGCTTGATTGCAGCTTCATTACTCTTTTATTACTGCTTTATTACGGCTTCATTACAGCTGCTTTATTACTGCTTTATTACTGCTTTATTACATCTTTATTATGGCATTATTACTGCTTTATCCCAGATTTAGTTCTGCTTTATTGCAGCGTTTTAACAACTTTATTACTGCTTTATTACTGCTTTATTACTGCTTTATTACTGCTTTATTACTGCTTTATTACTGCTGCTTTATTCATTATTTATTACAGCTTCATTACAGCTTCATTATAGCATTATTACTGCCACAGTACTATGGTTCAGATCAGTGCTGATCTTCTAACAGTTGGAGGAGTTTGCACATTTTAGACCATTCCATTGTTTGTAAAGTGAAATAACCCCCCACCCTGCGCACCGTCTGGGCAGTGCAAAATCAACTCGCCCACTCTGAGAAGACATAGCATGCAGATGCGTGCGTGCATTCATGTGTGAGCGCGCGTGCGTGTGTGTCTTACTTTTGTACTGGCTCTTTCCCGTACTTCATGAGAAGGCGTATGGCTGTGGGAGCTGTGTAGAACTTGGTCACTCTGTACTTCTCAATCACCTCCCAGAAACGCCCCACGTGAGGGTGGACTGGAATACCCTCAAACTGGAGAACACAGTAATCAGATGGATTTTAACATGATTAAATTTGACAACAAAGTGCAGAACTGCAGACAGATATGAATCTTGCAAGCCAGACTAGATCTCTTAATCTGTTACTACTTAACATGAACAGGTGAGACTAGAGCTGTGTCCCAAATGGCACCCTATTCCCTACATGGTGCACTACTTTGAACAGAGCCCTATGGACCCTGGTCAAAGGTAGTGCACTATATAGGGAATAGGGTGCCATTTGGGACACACCTTAGATAAAGAATACCAACTGCAGCAAATTGTATAGCAGTTCTACTGACCAGTTCTATACCAGTTCTACTGACCAGTTCTATACCAGTTCTACTGACCAGTTCTATACCAGTTCTATACCAGTACTATACCAGTTCTATACCAGTTCTACTGACCAGTTTTATACCAGTTCTATACCAGTTCTACTGACCAGTTCTATACCAGTTCTACTGACCAGTTCTATACCAGTTCTACTGACCAGTTCTATACCAGTTCTATACCAGTTCTACTGAGCAGTTCTATATCAGTTCTACTGACCAGTTCTATACCAGTTATATACCAGTTCTACTGAGCAGTTCTATACCAGTTATATACCAATTCTATACCAGTTCTACTGAGCAGTTCTATACCAGTTCTATACCAGTTCTACTGACCAGTTCTATACCAGTTATATACCAATTCTATACCAGTTCTACTGAGCAGTTCTATACCAGTTCTATGCCAGTTCTATACCAGTTCTACTGACCAGTTCTATACCAGTTCCATACCAATTCTATACCAGTTCTACTGAGCAGTTCTATACCAGTTCTATGCCAGTTCTATACCAGTTCTACTGACCAGTTCTATACCAGTTATATACCAATTCTATACCAGTTCTACTGAGCAGTTCTATACCAGTTCTATGCCAGTTCTATACCAGTTCTACTGAGCAGTTCTATACCAGTTCTATACCAGTTCTACACCAGTTATACTGACCAGTACGCTGGTAGCCCCGTTGGCCAGGGGTCCATAGGTGATGTAGGAGTGTCCAGTGATCCATCCTATATCAGCGGTACACCAGTACACATCGTCTGGCTGGTGGTCAAACACGTACTTGAAGGTCAGAGAGGTATAGAGCAGGTAGCCTGCCACCGTGTGGAGGACACCCTGTAGGGAAGGAAGATACAGGGTTAACACACACCCTATTGGGAAGGCAGATACAGGGTTAACACACACCCTGTAGGGAAGGCAGATACAGGGTTAACACACACCCTGTAGGGAAGGCAGATACAGGGTTAACACACACCCTGTAGGGAAGGCAGATACAGGGTTAACACACACCCTGTAGGGAAGGCAGATACAGGGTTAACACACACCCTGTAGGGAAGGCAGATACTGGGTTAACACACACCCTATTGGGAAGGCAGATACAGGGTTAACACACACCCTGTAGGGAAGGCAGATACTGGGTTAACACACACCCTGCAGGGAAGGCAGATACAGGGTTAACACACACCCTATTGGGAAGGCAGATACAGGGTTAACACACACCCTGCAGGGAAGGCAGATACAGGGTTAACACACACCCTGTAGGGAAGGCAGATACAGGGTTAACACACACCCTGTAGGGAAGGCAGATACAGGGTTAACACACACCCTGTAGGGAAGGCAGATACAGGGTTAACACACATGCAGCACGCATGTACACACAGGAACACACTTAGGAACACACACTTAGGAGCACACACACACACACAGTCAACAATAGGCACTCCCAAACTGCACTGTGGTCAGGTCGTCACGTCTGTATGATTGTGTATGTGCTTGTATGCTTGTGTTTGTGACACTGTGTGTGTTTGGGGTCAAAGGTTGTGTGTGTGTGTTTGTGTTTATGCAACTATGTGTGTGTCCTACCTTTGGTTTGCCAGTAGATCCGCTGGTGTACAGTATAAAGAGAGGATCCTCTGCATCCAGCCACTCAGGTTCACACTGCTCAGAGACCTGTCCCATCACCTCCTCCCAACACACATCATATGCAGCATCCCACGGGGTCTGGACACCAGGAAATACAGCAGAAACACAACTTAGTCAGAATACTGTAGAAATACACCAGGAAATACAGCAGGAATACAACTTAGTCAGAATACAGTAGAAATACACCAGGAAATACAGCAGAAATACAACTTAGTCAGAATACTGTAGAAATACACCAGGAAATACAGCAGAAATACAACTTAGTCAGAATACAGTAGAAATACACCAGGAAATACAGCAGAAATACAACTTAGTCAGAATACTGTAGAAATACACCAGGAAATACAGCAGAAATACAACTTAGTCAGAATACAGTAGAAATACACCAGGAAATACAGCAGAAACACAACTTAGTCAGAATACAGTAGAAATACACCAGGAAATACATTAGAAATACAACTTAGTCAGAATACATTAGAAATACACAAGGAAATACAGCAGAAACACAACTTAGTCAGAATACAGTAGAAATACACCAGGAAATACAGCAGAAACACAACTTAGTCAGAATACAGTAGAAATACACCAAGAAATACAGCAAAAAAACAACACAGTCAGAATACAGTAGAAATACACCAGGAAATACAGCAGAAACACAACTTAGTCCAAATACAGTAGAAATACACCAGTAAATACAGCAAAAAAACAACAACACAGTCAGAATACAGTAGGAATACACCAGGAAATACAGCAGAAACTCAACTTAGTCCGAATACAGTAGGAATACACCAGGAAATACAGCAGAAACTCAACTTAGTCCGAATACAGTAGAAATACACCAGGAAATACAGCAGAAATACAACTTAGTCAGAATACAGTAAAAATACATCAGGAAATACAGCAGAAACACAACTTAGTCAGAATACAGTAGAAATACACCAGGAAATACAGCAGAAATACAACTTAGTCAGAATACTGTAGAAATACACCAGGAAATACAGCAGGAATACAACTTAGTCAGAATACAGTAGAAATACAGCAGGAAATACAGCAGAAATACAACACAGTCAGAATACAGTAGAAATACAGCAGGAAATACAGCAGAAACACAACTTAGTCAGAATACAGTAGAAATACACCAGGAAATACAGCAGAAATACAACACAGTCAGAATACAGTAGGAATACACCAGGAAATACAGCAGAAATACAACAACACAGTCAGAATACAGTAGAAATACACCAGTAAATACCGCAAAAAAACAACAACACAGTCCGAATACAGTAGAAATACACCAGGAAATACACCAGGAAATACACCAGGAAATACACCAGGAAATACAGGGGGTGAGAGGACAGCACATCATTTACCAGAGACGTTCGTTGGGCAGCTCAAGAAAAGAAAAAAAACATAATCGGCAAACTGTTGTTCATTTGCACACAAAAGAATCGTATCTACATACCTGCAGTTTATTGGAAACATCCCCACCCTCTATCCTCAGCGCACAATGCTTAACCACTAGACATCTTCTAACGGTCGCCGATGCTCTGTGGAGAGATGAAGAGGAAAGTTGTAAGAATTGTGAACCAGTCAGGGATTGACATTAAGGGTCGCCCTACTGCCTGGGGCAAGTGAACTGAGCAGTAACCCTAACCCAGTCGCGCACGTTGAACCTGCTCCGAAGTTGGGGCGGGTGATACGAAATCAAATAAAATAAACTGCTAGGAATTTCAATAGCCTAAAACTGATCTCTCTGGTTCCTCCCCATTGTTTCAAGTGAAAGAAAGACAATGAAATGGCATTTATGGCAGTCGAGCAAGTGGAGCCTGCTCTGAGATTTATTTTCCTGATAAGAAACAAAATACAAAAGACTTCCACTACTGATCTGTCAGATCCCCTTTGTGTAGGTGAAAGCTGTATGGCACTTCTCCTTGTAAATAGCTCATTTAAATGTTCTGGCAAGTGATCATTATCTGTGGGCAACCAAGAAATACTCCTGACTTGCCCGATGGTCAAGCGCCTTTTTAAACTTTAATGTCACTCCCTGGCGATGATGACCATGTACATAGAGCGCATAGAGTAGCCTAGACATGGTGGTTATATGCTGTCATATGTCTCCTGGCTGCGATAGACATACATGTTGTTTCACACATCGGAGAACATACAGATCGCTAAGGGAAACAGACAGATGGGGGTTCCCTATAGATTCGGAACCCTCAGCGTTGCCCAGCAACTCCACAGCTTGGAAAGTAGGCAACGCTCTTCTTCAACAGCCCATTTAACAGCTGTTAAGGTCTGGCTCTGTGTGTGTGTGTGTGTGTGTGTGTGTGTGTGTGTGTGTGTGAGCCACAGCTCCTATCTCAGAGGTTAGGTCATCATTATAAGAGGATAAGGTAAACAGTCAACTGAATCAGTCATAAAGAGAGAGAGAGAGAGAGACGAGAATTGAGCTATAAGAGAGAGAGAGAGAGAGAGAGAGAGAGAGAGAGAGAGAGAGAGAGAGAGAGAGAGAGAGAGAGAGAGAGAGAGAGACAGAGAGAGAGAGAGAGAGAGAGAGAGAGAGAGAGAGAGAGAGACAGAGAGAGAGAGAGAGAGAGAGAGAGAGAGAGAGAGAGAGAGAGAGAGAGAGAGATGAGAATTGATCAGATGATAGACGATAGCGCTGTAAACAGGACGACTTACTTCTCCTTGCACTTTTCCAGAGCTTCATCTGCTATCTGCTTCAGGTTGATCAATTTCTCCCCTCTGTATACACCATCTGGAGCAAGAGGTAGGGAGGGAGGGAGAGAAAGAGAGACAGAGAGAGAGAGAGAGAGAGAGAGAGAGGGGGGGGGGGGGGGGGGGGAGGGGGGAGAGGAAGGGAGAGACCCAAGCCAACATGTAATTACTTTACAACTTCTGATGAAAACAGATGACGACTCAGCACACCAGGATGTTGCCTAGCTACAGTCTAAAGTCCACATGCAAGGTGTCATTTTATTGGTCATCTGCCACGTTGTGCATGAATGGTGTCATTTTATTGGGCATTAGCCGGTCTCCACACTGTCTTACCTGCAGTCACCAGAATACTGCACTTGGCATCCATGATCCTCTCACACAGAGACTCAGAGGAGAAGCCTGCAAACTGAACACACACACCACAGCAGGTCAGCTGTGACGTTCTATAACAGAACAGGAAGCCAACATCTATTGGAGCCGCCCTTTAACAGAACATTGTGATTGATTGTTGTTGCTCATTCAACACTTAATGCATAAAAAAAAGGTATTTGATGTTAGCCTGGGTCCTCAATCTGTTTTAGTCAAGTCCTCGGTAAGGACAGCTAAAGTTAAAGGAGATGGCTAAAGCACATATTATTCTGGGACCAGGCTAGTCTTCAATGAGTTTCCAAAGTGATCATCATAGACGGGGCCTGATCCTTTACAAACTGGCACTTCTGAACTGGGCAAGGTTAATAGTTCACAGAGCAGAGATATACTCAGTGTAGCATTTAAACTGTCATACCAAACCTTCGATGAGATTTTATTCAGAGCAAACCACTTTATTATGCTAAATTCTTTCAGGACTCAATGGACTCTGGAGTGTATACCTGTAATAGTGCTCAGCTAAATGTATTACAAAACCACTTCTATCTAGAATGTGCCTTGTCAAATCCAAACTAAATGAGACATAGCAATACAGCCAGGATAGAGCCAGGATAGCCCAGGATAGAGCCAGGATAGCCCAGGATAGAGCCAGGATACCCCAGGATAGAGCCAGGATAGCCCAGGATAGAGCCAGGATACCCCAGAATAGAGCCAGGATACCCCAGGATAGAGCCAGGATACCCCAGGATAGAGCCAGGATACCCCAGGATAGAGCCAGGATACCCCAGAATAGAGCCAGGATACCCCAGGATAGAGCCAGGATACCCCAGAATAGAGCCAGGATACCCCAGGATAGAGCCAGGATACCCCAGAATAGAGCCAGGATACCCCAGGATAGAGCCAGGATACCCCAGGATAGAGCCAGGATACCCCAGGATAGAGCCAGGATACCCCAGGATAGAGCCAGGATACCCCAGGATAGAGCCAGGATACCCCAGAATAGAGCCAGGATACCCCAGGATAGAGCCAGGATACCCCAGAATAGAGCCAGGATACCCCAGAATAGAGCCAGGATACCCCAGGATAGAGCCAGGATACCCCAGGATAGAGCCAGGATACCCCAGAATAGAGCCAGGATAGCCCAGGATAGAGCCAGGATACACCAGAATAGAGCCAGGATAGCCCAGGATAGAGCCAGGATAGCCCAGGATAGAGCCAGGATACCCCAGGATAGAGCCAGGATACCCCAGGATAGAGCCAGGATAGCCCAGGATAGAGCCAGGATACCCCAGGATAGAGCCAGGATACCCCAGGATAGAGCCAGGATAGCCCAGGATAGAGCCAGGATACCCCAGGATAGAGCCAGGATACCCCAGAATAGAGCCAGGATAGCCCAGGATAGAGCCAGGATACACCAGAATAGAGCCAGGATAGCCCAGGATAGAGCCAGGATACCCCAGGATAGAGCCAGGATACCCCAGGATAGAGCCAGGATACCCCAGGATAGAGCCAGGATACCCCAGGATAGAGCCAGGATACCCCAGGATAGAGCCAGGATAGCCCAGGATAGAGCCAGGATACCCCAGGATAGAGCCAGGATAGCCCAGGATAGAGCCAGGATACCCCAGGATAGAGCCAAGATACCCCAGGATAGAGCCAGGATACCCCAGGATAGAAGTTGTGACAGTGCAATAACCAAATGATCTCTGTCATTCTAATTTAATGTCATGTTCATAAAACAATGATCCAGCAGGAATGGGGTCATTATATTTAAACGGGTCAAAAATAGCCCTGCATGCATACTAAAAATGAACCTTGGGACAACCCAGACATTGGGTATTTATAAACTCCGACTCTGCAACGCTATACACAATGTAACCTATTCATGAGACGCAAGGTTATGACTGAAATACTGTCTGGCTTGACTGTTTGTCTGTTTAAACCCACCCTGGGCTGGAGAAAGACTGGATCAACTGTTTGTCTGTTTAAACCCACCCTGGGCTGGAGAAAGACTGGATCAACTGTTTGTCTGTTTAAACCCACCCTGGGCTGGAGAAGGACTAGCCTGGATCAACTGTTTGTCTGTTTAAACCCACCCTGGGCTGGAGAAGGACTGGATCAACTGTTTGTCTGTTTAAACCCACCCTGGGCTGGAGAAGGACTGGACTGGATCAACTGTTTGTCTGTTTAAACCCACCCTGGGCTGGAGAAGGACTAGCCTGGATCAACTGTTTGTCTGTTTAAACCCACCCTGGGCTGGCGAAGGACTAGACTGGATCAACTGTTTGTCTGTTTAAACCCACCCTGGGCTGGAGAAGGACTAGCCTGGATCAACTGTTTGTCTGTTTAAACCCACCCTGGGCTGGAGAAGGACTAGCCTGGATCAACTGTTTGTCTGTTTAAACCCACCCTGGGCTGGAGAAGGACTAGCCTGGATCAACTGTTTGTCTGTTTAAACCCACCCTGGGCTGGAGAAGGACTAGACTGGATCAACTGTTTGTCTGTTTAAACCCACCCTGGGCTGGCGAAGGACTAGACTGGATCAACTGTTTGTCTGTTTAAACCCACCCTGGGCTGGAGAAAGACTGGATCAACTGTTTGTCTGTTTAAACCCACCCTGGGCTGGAGAAGGACTAGCCTGGATCAACTGTTTGTCTGTTTAAACCCACCCTGGGCTGGAGAAGGACTAGACTGGATCAACTGTTTGTCTGTTTAAACCCACCCTGGGCTGGAGAAGGACTAGCCTGGATTCTCTGTGAGGAACAGCTATGAGACTACACCCCCCTTCTATGCGTCCCAAATGGCCCTCTATTCCCTACATAGTGCACTGCTTCGCTCTGGTCAAAAGTAGTGCACTATGTAGGGAACAGGGTACCGATTTGGGACGCAGTCCCTTGGTGCAGGTGTTATCCCAACCGGTGTTCACACACTGAACAGCTGATAACTCTGCAAGGCAGGGGCAGACCAAACCGACAGTGGTATGACCCCGTTCTATAATATTAGCACTGTACATTACATCAGTCGGTTAAGTCAGGTTACATAAACACTGTAACTGACATCTGGGGCGGCAGGTAGCTTAGTGGTTAAGAGCGTTGTGCCAGTAACCGAAAGGTCGCTGGTTCTAATCCCTGAGCCGACTAGGTGAACAATCTGTCGATGTGCCCTTGAGCAAGGCACTTAACCCTAATTGCTCCTGTAAGTCGCTCTGGATATGAGCGTCTGCTAAAATGACTCAAACGTAAATCTACACACCACAAGACTGCATTAGCTAGCTGAGATAAAGCCTAGGCATTAGTCTTCAGGTCAAGTCTCAGGCAAGGATCCTCATCACAGGAGGCAGTGGTTGATCAAACCTCCTCCACTTCACTTAAAGGGATTGACATTAAAGTTGGAAAGGGACTTAAGTCAGGAGTATTTTTTTGGTTGCCCGAAGATTATGATCGCGCTATATACATGGAGAAGTGCCATATGTTGCCTTTCACCTACACATATTCAAATCCCCGAGCCGACTAGGTGAAAAATCTGTCGATGTGCCCTTGAGCAAGGCACTTAACCCTAATTGCTCCTGTAAGTCGCTCTGGATAAGAGCGTCTGCTAAATGACTAAAAAAACAAACAAAAAAACATATGGAAGGAATCAGAAAGATCAGTACTGGAATTCTTAGTATTTTGCTTATCAGTAAAACAATCCTCAGAGCAGGCTCAACTTGCCCGACTGCCATAAATGCCATTGATTGTCTGTGTTTCACTTGGGGAGGAACCAGAAACATCATCTACAGGAATTCTTTGCAGTTTGGGTGTTTTCACTAGTTTTTTTTTTTTTAATCACCTGTCCAATTGGAGAGCAGGGCAGCCTCAACCAGCGTGACTTCACTTGGTTAATAGGAATATTTAAGATGAAGAAAGTTTATATTCAGTTGAGTGATTAAACACAATGTTTATCATATTTATATATTTAGCCTTTCAGGTAATACACAGTGTTGTTTGTAACTCTGATAGTCCCTGGACTAGAGGCTACGTTATGGATAAAACGCATATCTGTCGATAGTGATTGACGCCAGACCGAGGACACTGTGTGATTCTCTCTAACGCTGTGATTCTCTCTATCACTGTGTGATGATTCTGTGGCAGCTGACAAAGTCACTGCCTTTTTGACTGTTTACAGAACAGTTGTCTGCTGATTAGGATATAAGGACATTTTCTCTGCTTCTGTGCAGGAGGTGTCTCCCTGTTGCAACTTGGAATAAACCGGATTGATTTCTGATTGACTTCCTCTGTGACTGGTCTTCTCTTTCGTTCACCTGGAGATTCCTATTACAACTTTACCCGGGGCAATAGGGCAACCCTTTTAATGTCAATCCCTGCACTGACCACGATGGAGTGGACAGCTCCTATCCTGGCGCAGGCCAGCATGGTGTAGACCAGCTCAGGAATCATTGGAAGGTAGATGGCCACCCTGTCTCCCTTCCTCACCCCTGTAACACACGCCAGAAGACAACACAGGTGGATGAACTATGACAGTTTTGGAAAATAAGGAAATCTGAGTATTCAAAACCCATGTCAAATTGTGTGTGTTTTGGCACTTTTACTGTATTACAAATGTTCAGTGAGGGAAAGTGCTATTTTACAATCACCCCAAAATCGTTGAAAGAGACAGACAGTTCTGTCTTACCCATCTGCTTTAGAACGTTGGCACACCGGCACACCTGTCCCAGCAGCCGGCTGTAGGTGATGGCCATGTGATGATCCGGTGAGTTCCCCTCCCTGGAGAACAGACATTAAACATTATCATGTCAATTCAAATACATGACTTCATTTAGTTTATATGACATCTGTAACATGAAGTGTGTATAGCTGATCTGAGATGCATGTGGGCTCATAGTCAGTTTGATACAGTACTTTCACTGATTTCCAGTCTTCATATTTAGTCAATTAGCAGACCCTCTTATCCAGAGCAACTAGGGTTATGTGCCTTGCTCAAGGGCACATTGACAGAATGTTCTCCTAGTTGGCTCAGGGATTTGAACCAGCGACAACTATGCTACCTTGCCCCATATGTTATCTCAATCAAAATATTGCAACACATTCTGTTGTTTCCAAACAGCAAATAGATAGATAGACAGTCTGTCAGATGTCTGCCTGCCTGCCTGTCTGTCTGTCGCACACCGTTGCACAAGTCTGTCCCAACCAATCCACCCAGCATTTGCGTCCCAAATGGCACCCTATTCCCTATGTAGTGCACTACTTTTGACCAGAGAATGGCACCCTATTCCCTATGTAGTGCACTACTTTAGACCAGAGAATGGCACCCTATTCCCTATGTAGTGCACTACTTTAGACCAGAGAATGGCACCCTATTCCCTATGTAGTGCACTACTATTGACCAGAGAATGGCACCCTATTCCCTATGTAGTGCACTACTTTAGACCAGAGAATGGCACCCTATTCCCTATGTAGTGCACTACTTTTGACCAGAGAATGGCACCCTATTCCCTATGTAGTGCACTACTTTTGACCAGAGAATGGCACCCTATTCCCTATATAGTGCACTACTTTTGACCAGAGAATGGCACCCTATTCCCTATGTAGTGCACTACTTTAGACCAGAGCCCATAGAGAATAGGGTGCCATTTGGGATGCACCAGTCATCATGGCAGACTGCTTGGATGTGCCTCCACCTGAGATACTGTACTGAAATCAACCCGATCAGCCAGTTAGTGGACGCAATGTGCAGGCTGAAGAGACGTGGCTGAATGTACCACCTGACATGGCGTTTACCCCTTTTTCCTGATATCCAATTGGTAGTTACAGTCTTGTCCCATCGTTGCAACTCCCGTACGGACTCGGTGACAAGACAGGCTGGTGACAAGACAGGCTGGTGACAAGACAGGCTGGTGACAAGACAGACTGGTGACAAGACAGGCTGGTGACAAGACAGGCTGGTGACAAGACAGACTGGTGACAAGACAGGCTGGTGACAAGACAGGCTGGTGACAAGACAGACTGGTGACAAGACAGGCTGGTGACAAGACAGGCTGGTGACAAGACAGGCTGGTGACAAGACAGGCTGGTGACAAGACAGACTGTTGACAAGACAGGCTGGTGACAAGACAGGCTGGTGACAAGACAGGCTGGTGACAAGACAGGCTGGTGACAAGACAGGCTGGTGACAAGACAGGCTGGTGACAAGACAGGCTGGTGACAAGACAGGCTGGTGACAAGACAGGCTGGTGACAAGACAGGCTGGTGACAAGACAGGCTGTTGACTGACAGGAAGTGACAGACAGGCTGTTGACTGACAGGAAGTGACAGACAGGAGTCCCAGGTATATCAGACTCATCATAACACAGCTATGTCCTGTTGTTGCTAGGTTGTTAATATGTCATTTAATGTGTCACGCATAAGGGTGATTTCCATTTCCAGGAATTGCACCATTCTCTCTAGGTTCTTGCAATCATAAATTAAACCCTTTTGTCACTGTGAGTAATGTTTATGTGAAAGTTCTGTGCTACCTATCCATAGGAGCAGAATAATGTGGATATTTCAGTTAATATCTAACCACAGGATCAGAATAATGTGGTTCTTTCAGTTAATATCTAACCACAGAATCAGAATAATGTGGTTCTTTCAGTTAATATCTAACCACAGGATCAGAATAATGTGGTTCTTTCAGTTAATTTCTAACCACAGGATCATAATAATGTGGTTCTTTCAGTTAATATCTAACCACAGGATCAGAATAGGGTGGTTCTTTCAGTTAATATCTAACCACAGGATCAGAATAATGTGGTTCTTTCAGTTAATTTCTAACCACAGGATCGGAATAATGTGGTTCTTTCAGTTAATATCTAACCACAGGATCAGAATAATGTGGTTCTTTCAGTTAATATCTAACCACAGAATCAGAATAATGTGCTTCTTTCAGTTAATATCTAACCACAGGATCAGAATAATGTAGTTCTTCACTTTCTGCCAAAACCACCTCCAACACTGCAGGTAGACAAGCCAAGTGTGTGTGTGTGTGTGTGTGTGTGTGTGTGTGTGTGTGTGTGTGTGTGTGTGTGTGTGTGTGTGTGTGTGTGTGTGTGTGTGTGTGTTACTGAGTGTGACTGAGAGAGTGACTGAGAGAGTGACTGAGAGAGTGACTGAGAGAGCCGTCGTTGTGTGAAAACAAATAGTGTCCTTTGAAGAGTTTACAGTATTTATATCTCACTCTGTGGGTGGTGCTAGACCACTTCCTGCTTCAATTAACCATCAATGGAGGAGGAAATGATTTGTGGTACCGATTTGAGTGTGTCAAGAACTGCAACGCTGCTGGGTTTTTCACGCTCAACAGTTTCCCGTGTGTATCAAAGAATGGTCCACCACCCAGAGGACATCCAGCCAACTTGACACAACTGTGGGAAGCACTGGAGTCAACATGGGCCAGCAGTCCCCTGTGGAACGCTTTCGACACCTTGTAGAGTCCGATGCCCCGACGAAGCTGTTCTGAGGGCAAAATGGGGGGGTGCAAGTCAATATTGGGAAGGTGTTCCTAATGTTTTGTACACTCAGTGTACACGTCAGACTTAGCATTGTTCAAAGATCAAACACCTTCATCTTCTGAAACCCTCAAGGTATTGAGTGTTAGTTTCCAGTCTGTCTCAATATGAACTTCCCCACCTCAGAAACAGGTATTTCCTCACAGGTTGACAAAGTAAACAATTAAAACCTTCAACACACACAGAACCCACTTTGGCAAGCTAGGGTATCGCTAAAGAAACTGCTCGGTCCTTCGTAGTTTGAATAGAGAGGGCTCGGTCCTTCGTAGCTCAGTTGGTAGAGCACGGTGCTTGTAATGCCAGGGTAGTGGGTTTGATTCCCGGGACCAACCATACATAAAATGTATGCATGACCGTAAGTCGGTTTGGATAAAAGCACCTGCTAAATGGCATATACAGGGCTTGCTCCCTCGTATCGGGGCATATACAGGGCTTGCTCCCTCGTATCGGGGCATATACAGGGCTTGCTCCCTCGTATCGGGGCGTATACAGGGCTTGCTCCCTCGTATCGGGGCATATACAGGGCTTGCTCCCTCGTATCGGGGCATATACAGGGCTTGCTCCCTCGTATCGGGGCATATACAGGGCTTGCTCCCTCGTATCGGGGCATATACAGGGCTTGCTCCCTCGTATCGGGGCGCTGTTAGAGGGCTATATAGTACAGGGGACAGCCCATTGGCTGGGATGCTTCTCATAGCTGTGCTACAAACAGTGACTCATTGGTGAGCTGCATTCTTTTTTCACTGAGTATAAAGTCATTGAGAACACATTGTCTTTTACAATAATGACCAAGATAAGAGTGATATATAACAATAAGTGTTGTTTTGTCTTACCAGAAGAATGCCACTTGTTCACCAAGGTTCTTGTCCTTCACGTTCCTGTCCAGGACGTTGTAACACATGTTGGTTTTGGCCCCCTCCATGCATTTGACATAGATATTCCCTTTGGTTACATCAAAGTTATACTGCAGAATGTGTCCCGTCGGAGGCTTCTTCCAATAGAAGTCACTAGCAACCTCTTTCCAGAAAACTGCAAATAACAAATTGCACACAGATTTTGTTTAGAGCACACACACACACACGCACACACACACACACACACACACACACACACACACACACACACACACACACACACACACACACACACACAAAAACACACACAGCCAAGCTTTTTGCAGATGAGTCATGAGCACAGGACATACCAACACAAAGCTTCAGTTATTCTGCAAGCAACAAGCACACATGCCACAAGGCCTTCGTAACCTACCCTCCGGCTCCTCAATAGACTTCCTGTAAAGTTCCAGATAACAGTTGAAGTCAGGCACATGAGCATCCTTCCGAAGACCCTCCGGAGGATGATACATCTTGTCCTCTATGTGTTGAGAGCCAGGGACCACCATTGTTGATAGACAGACAGACGGACGTACTGTAGATAGATCTATCTGACTGGCGTGAGAGAGAGAGAGAGAGAGAGAGAGAGAGAGAGAGAGAGAGGTCCTCCAAGGCTAGAGGGGAGAGGTGAGGCAGACTGACTACAGTAGGGCTTCAGACATTGGAGCAGTACACTGAGCCCGTGCTCTGGCCACACCCAGGTTTCATGTCGCTTCCACATGCTTCGTGCCAAAGGAGCCAATCAAAATGCTTAAAATGGCACTTCCACCTTTTCATTGGCTGATCGGGTCCTGGCCTGTTGATCGGATTATTTTCCAAGTTGTGTGCAAAGAGGCAGAACAAACTTAAATGGCAGGCGTGAATGCTTGGCTGAGCGACAGACAGACAGACGTGACAGACAGACAGTACCGACAGACAGAATGCTAGGAAGGCAGACAGACAGACACATGGAGGAGGGTAAGGGGGGCAGTGTATAGATCTGACAAAATGAAAAAAAACTGACTCGTCACAACAGCACTGACTCAACAAAACGTAAGGTAGGGCAGGATAACCTTAAAAAAGAAAAACCGAAAAAAGGGGGTCGGGGGGTCCACCAATATTCTCCAACCAAAGAAAAATTTAAAAAATTTCCCCTTGAACCGTGTGGGAAAAAAACGAACAGACCCCCCAAAACCCCCAAAAAACCCCAAAAGCCAAAAAAAAAAAACCCCCCCCAAAAAAAAAATTTTTAAAGGGGGGGAAGGGGAGAGGGAAACCCCCCGGGGGGGGAATTTTGGGGGCAACAACCCCCAAAGGCCAAAAGCCGAACCCCCCCCCAAAACCCAAAAAGGAAAAGGGGGACCTTAAAAATTTTTAAAAAACACCCCCTTTTCTTTGAACCCCGGGGAAAAAGGAACCCCCCTTTTGGGGGGGAAAAAGGGGGGGGAAAAAGGGGAAGAGGGGGGGGGGAAAAAAAGGGGGAGGAAGGGGAAGAAAAAAGGGAAAAAAAGGGAAGAAAAAAGGGGGGGGGAAAGGGGAAAAAAAAACCCCCTTTAAAAAACAAAAAAAAACCCCCCCAATTTTAAAAGGGACGGGGGGGGGAGGAAAAAAAAGGGGGGGAAAAAAAAAGGGAAAAAAAAAGCGGGGGGGGAAAAACCCGGGAAAAAAGGGAAAAAAAAGGGGGACAAAAGCCCAAAAAGAGAAGGAAAGGAAAAAAATAAAAAAAAAAATTCCCCCCCCCTTTTCAAAAAAAAACCCCCCCGGGGCCCCCCCCTTTTCCCTTCCCCCTGGCAACCTTTCCAAACTGCAAATAACAATTCCACCGATTGTTAAGCACACACAATATCACGAAGCAAACACAATCCACAGAACAAAACCACCCCAAACCACACAACAACACACCAACACAACACAACACAACAGAACAAAAAAACAAGCACCACACACCAACAGCCAGCTTTTTCGATATATGACACGGGACAACCCACAAAGCTCTGAAGTATTCACAACAAGAAGAGCCACAAGGCCTGAACCTAAGCAACGTAAGATTAAAAGGTGAAAACAGAAGCAGGCCAGAGCATCCTTCGAAGACCCTCCCATGAACTCTTGTCCTATGGTTGAGCCCACCACCATTTAGACGAACCCCCAGACGGAAGGAAGAGATAAGTATGGCGGGTGAGAGAGAGAGATGGAGAAGAGAGCGAGGAGAAGTCCCTACCCGGTAGAGGGGGAGTGAGGCAACCTCATGGTTCGACATACCTCCCTGGCCGGGTCGGCCACACCCAGGTTTCATGCGCTCCAAGCTGGCAAAGGAGCCAATCAAAAGCAAATGGCACTCCCCCCACTTTCATGCTATGGGTCCCCTTTTCTTTTGTCCAACTGTCTTGTTGCAACCCACACTTCTTGCTGGGCACCAGACAGACAGACAGACCCGACAGAGAGACAGACACGCAACGACAGGTCAGAGCCGAACCACAGACGTAGGTGGCAGTGTAAATTTCTCTATCTCCTGAAAATGACAAAATACCTCGCTTTTCTCTCCCTGTCAACAAACCTCTCTCTATCATAATGGTACAACCAAATCCCAACCGTCTAATCAATACTTAGATATCGACATATCTCTATCTATGTATGCACTCAACTCTCTCTCTCTCTCTACACTCTCTCTCTCTCTCCCTGTCCACCAAACCTCGCTCTCTCATCTCCCTCGTCACCAACCCCCCCCTCTCTCTCCCTGGCCACCAACCTCGCTCTCTACTCATCCGGGTCCACCAAACCTCGCTCTCTCTCTCTCCCTGTTCCACCAACCTACCCCCTCTCTCCTCTCCGTCCACAACCTCCCCCCTCTCTCACCTGTACCAACCTCCCCCTTCTCTTCCTTGTCCACCAACCTCTCCCGTATCTCTCCATGCCCCACCCTCCTCTCTCCTCCCTGTCACCAACCTCCCTCTCTCTCTCTCCCTGTGGGTCCTCTTCTCTGTCCGCCCAAACCCCTCTCTCTTCTCCATGTCCCCCCAAACCCTTCCCTCTCTCTCTCCTCTTCCCCCACCCCTCCCTCCCTCTCTCTCTCTCCTGTCGACCAAACCTCCCTCTCTTCTCCCCCTGTCCACCACCTCCCTCCTGCCTCTCGTCCATGTCACCAACCTCCCCTCTCTCCCCTGGTCACCAACCTCCCCTCTCTCTCTCTCCCTGTCCACCAACCTCCCCCTCTCTCTCTCTCCTGTCCACCAACCTCCCCTCTCTCCTCTCTGTCCACCAACCTCCCCCTCTCTCTCTCCCTGTCCACCAACCTCCCCCCCTCTCTCTCTCCCTGTCCACCAACCTCCCTCTCTCTCCCTGTCCACCAACCTCTCTCTCTCTCCCTGTCCACCAACCTCCCTCTCTCTCCCTGTCCACCAACCTCTCTCTCTCTCTCCCTGTCCACCAACCTCCCCTCTCTCTCTCCCTGTCCACCAACAACACATAATTCCTGTAGGCCTATCCCTCCCAGCGCACTAATAGGAATACCAATAATTATGACCATATAGTCATAGAGTCATACATTCTCAGAAGGTATCATGTTTATGAACAAATAGATTGATTGTAATTACAATAGAATAGAAACCCTTTACAGTCCACATACAGTACCAGTCAAACGTTTGGACACACCTACTCATTCCAGGGTTTTTCTTTATTTTGACTATTTTCTACATTGTAGAATTATAGTGGAGACATCAAAACTATGAAATAACACACATGGAATCATGTAGTAACCAAAACAAGTGTTTTATATTTGAGATTCTTCAAAGTAGCCACCCGTTGCCTCAATGCCAGCTTTGCACACTCTTGGCATTCTCTCAACCAGCTTCTTGAGGTAGTCACCTGGAATGCATTTCAATTAACAGGTGTGCCTTGTTAAAAGTTAATTTGTGGAATTTCTTTCCTTCTTAATGCGTTTGAGCCAATCAGTTGTGTTGTGACATGGTAGGGAGGGTATACAGAAGATAGCCCTATTTGGTAAAAGACCAAGTCCATATTATGGCAAGAACAGCTCAAATAAGCAAAGAGAAACGACAGTCCGTCAATTTTGAAAGTTTCTTCAAGTGCAGTCGCAAAAAACATCAAGTACTATGATGAAACTGGCTCTCATGAGGACCGCCACAGGAAAGGAAGACCCAGAGTTACCTCTGCTGCAGAGGATAAGTTCATTAGAGTTACCAGCCTCAGAAATTGCAGCCCAGATAAATGCTTCACAGAGTTCAAGTAACAGACACATCTCAACATCAACTGTTCAGAGGAGACTGTGTGAATCAGGCCTTCATGGTCAAATTGCTGCAAAGCAACCACTACTAAAGGACACCAATAATAAGAAGAGACTTGCTTGGGCCAAGAAACACGAGCAATGGACATTAGACCGGTGGAAATCTGTCCTTTGGTCTGATGAGTCCAAATTTGAGATTTTTGGTTCCAACCGCTGTGTCTTTGTGAGACGCAGAGTAAGTGAACGGATGATCTCCGCATGTGTGGTTCCCACCGTGAAGCATGGAGGAGGAGGTGTGATGGTGTGGGGGTGCTTTGCTGGTGACACTGTCTGTGATTTATTTAGAATTCAAGGCACACTTAACCAGCATGGTAATCACAGCATTCTGCAGCGATACGCCATCCCATCTGGTTTGCGCTTAGTGGGACTATCATTTGTTTTTCAACAGGACAATGACCCAAATCATACCTCCAGGCTGTGTAAGGGATATTTGACCAATAAGGAGAGTGATGGAGTGCTGCATCAGATGATCTGGCCTCCACAATCACCCAACCTCAACCCAATTGAGATGGTTTGGGATGAATTGGACCGCAGAGTGAAGGAAAAGCAGCCAACTAGTGCTCAGCATATGTGGGAACTCCTTCAAGACTGTTGGAAAAGCATTCGAGGTGAAGCTGGTTGAGAGAATGCCAAGAGTGTGCAAAGCTGTCATCAAGGCAAAGGGTGGCTACTGTGAAGAATCTCAAATATATTTTGATTTGTTTAAGACTTTTTTGGTTACTACATGATTCCATATGTGTTATTTCATAGTTTTGATGTATTCACTATTATTATACAATGTAGAAAATAGTCACAAAAAAAAAAAAAAAAACTTGCATGAGTAGGTATGTCCAAACGTATGACTGGTACTGTACATTTTGGATATTGGCATTTGGCTTGACATTGATTTACATAGTACACAAAACTAAGATACATTAAAAACTGACCATAACACGGACCAGAACACAGACCATAACACGGACCAGAACACAGACCAGAACATAGACCAGAACACAGACCAGAACACGGACCAGAACACAGACCAGAACACAGACCAGAACACAGACCATAACACGGACCAGAACACAGACCAGAACACGGACCAGAACACGGACCAGAACACGGACCAGAACACAGACCAGAACACAGACCAGAACATAGACCAGAACACAGACCAGAACACGGACCAGAACACAGACCAGAACACAGACCAGAACACAGACCATAACACGGACCAGAACACAGACCAGAACACGGACCAGAACACGGACCAGAACACGGACCAGAACACAGACCAGAACACAGACCAGAACACAGACCAGAACACAGACCAGAACATAGACCAGAACACAGACCAGAACACAGACCAGAACACAGACCAGGACACAGACCAGAACACAGACCAGAACACAGACCAGAACACAGACCAGAACATAGACCAGAACACAGACCAGAACACATTAAAAACTGAAGGAGCACTTCATAACACAGTACAACATGATCTGGGAAAAGCCATATAGAAAGCTCACAATCACAGGAATGTACTGATTGATGATATTGTGAATTGCTGGGCATGTATGTTGTCTTGACAATTTGGCATGCTATTTTCCACAACAGCTTTTAGCATGGTGCTCAGAAAGAGAAAGAGGGATTTTTTCACCTATTTTCATAAAGCTAAGAACATGAACAACATCATAGTTAAGAACACCAGAACAATATGGAAGAAAATTAAACGTATTCTACAAGATTATTATTTATTATTATTTTTTTGCACCGACTCTCTGCACTCACTGGACTCTAACCACACACTCACTCACACATACTACACTGACACTCCGACCATACACACACACACACACACACACACACACACACACACACACACACACACACACACACAGAAAACACACACACATGCATACTGACGCCACACACACACACACACACACACACAGAAAACACACACACGCACACACACACACAGAAAACACACACACACACACACACACAGAAAACACACACACATGCATACTGACGCCACACACACACACACATACACACAGAAAACACACACACACACACACACACACAGAAAACACACACACATGCATACTGACGCCACACACACACACACACAGAAAACACACACACACACACACACACACAGAAAACACACACACATGCATACTGACGCCACACACACACACACACACACACACAGAAAACACACACACGCACACACACACACAGAAAACACACACACATGCATACTGACGCCACACACACACAGACACACACACACAGAAAACACACACACGCACACACACACACACACACACACACAGATAACACACACGCACGCACACACACACACACACACACAGAAAACACACACACATGCATATTGACGCCAAACACACACACACACAAAGTACATTCACATTCCTTCACACTATTCACATAGTCACTGCTGCTACTCTTCTTATTTAATTGTGTTACTATTTTTCCTTTAGTTTATTTAGCACATTTTTTCTTACTTACTTTTTTAAAACTCTGCATTGTTGGTTAACGGCTCATAAGTAAGCATTACACGGTAAGGTCTACCTACACATTTTACTCATTTAGCAGACGCTCTTATCCAGAGCGACTAACAGTTAGTGAGTGCATACATTTTTCATACTGGCCCCCCATGGGAATCGAACCCACAACCCTGGCGTTGCAAGCGCCACGCTCTACCAACTGAGCTACAGGAGGCTACACCTGTTGTATTCGGTGCATCTGACAAATACAATTTGATTTGATTTTAAGAACCAATATCACTCCCTAAAAACACAACCCTATGGAACAATCCTTGGATAGCTTTTCAGAATTCACCGATAAATTGGTCCACATGGAAACTAAAGGCATAGGTAAATGACTTGATAATAGAAAATACATTTATTTCCATGACAGCATTAAAAAGCAATTTTGTATTGACCAATATAGATTTTTTGAAATACATGCAACTTAAAACGTTTTATATCACGCGAATTCGATTTGAAATCTTTTGGACATCAGAGCAATCTTGATGGAATCTTATTGAAGGATATTCATTGATATGATAGGTTCGTTATACAACACCTTGCAGAGAGCCTATCCACCTGACAATCTCTTAGAAAATAATATCAACTATTGGAACCAATACTTAAAAAAAAAAATTATATTGGCACAAGATGCCTGCGGGTCTGGGCAGGTGTGATGTAATTCTCATTCGTATGTTTAGTATTGTGACAACAACAACAACACATCTTACAACAACATCAAAAAGAGAAAGAGAGGAATGCAAATACATAACTGAAGATTATGAAATCAGTATATGTTCTGTAATCTTCTCATTTTGGAGAGGAGTTTGGACACATTGCGGATCCGTGGTGTAAAACAGACCCTCTCAATCCAGCTGTGTTGACGTCGTCACATAAATGTTGTATCAACGGGACAAAACCAGCTCCGCTTTGAAGACGTTTATATCTTCTGCAGTTCGATCTGCTGTTTCCCCAAACGGTATGCTTATAACAAAGTACTCGTGTTAGGCTGGTTATAGAAATCAAGAACCGTTCGCTACGTTTGACGAAGAAAGATAAATGTGTTGCACGACACTTGACAAGGGCAAACGGCCTAGATAGCTTCTACGTTAGCTAGCTAACCGATAGATAGCTGGCTACACCAACCAATGTTACACTTTCATTAGAGTAATGATTTAGGTCAATATTAAATGTGAACAACACTATTGCTTGAAAGATTGTGAAAATTATATATTGTCCTTGCAAGTTAACTAGCTAGCTGGATATGTTTTCCGACTGGCTAAGTTAGTTCACTT